AGGCCTCCAGGTAATGATGTTATCTACACATTTCTATGCAGATCTGTTGAGTTGACCATGGCGGAGGCCCATGCTCTGTCTAATCTAATTTTATCAGTTAATTGGCTCTGCCAGATACATACATGTACATGACCCCAGTTTGGCAGGAATCAATCGGTCTGTTCTTGGGATAACGCGATCATGAGAACGGGTTATACGGATGTACGGACGGACGGACAACCCGAAAACATTATGCCTACGGCTACTTGGTAACGGAGGCATACAAAATGAGAGATAACATATACACATTGGAACTTATACTAGGTATCACTAAAACCCAGAAACAACAAGCATGCCAATGCCATTCTACTGACTAAAGACATCACATTCACCTTGTTAATTCTAGGACTAATTGAGTCAGAACTTACTTTAGTGAGGCCACGGCTTTTAGTTGAGGCTTCCTTGTCATCTCATGAGGCTCTTTGTGGCTCAGTGCTTGTTCCTTCACATCTGTGCGAAGAGGCCACTGCTCAATTCAAAATCTTCCAGTCTGGTGGTTCCCTCTTTCCAAGATGACCCCAGGTCAGGCTTGCTGGTAGGGGTTGTCAGTGTAGCAGTACAAGAAGGCTCCTTGTTCCAGGTTCCGAAAAGCCACTGCTCAATCCAAAATCTTCCAGTCTGAGGGTTCCTCCTTTCCATGATGACCCCAGGTCAGGCTTGTTCGTAGGGGTCGTCAGTCTAGCAGGTCCTATAAAAGAAGACTATACAAATGATTCATGTTTGCAAACTTGTGTTCTAGTGAATATGCACTTCCAACAAGTAAAGTCACAATCGGATAATGAACGATTTGTTGAGTTCAGTTGGTGACATAAAGGAAATAAAGGAACAGAACAATTTTAATAATTTGTAAGTCCGAAGATTTGGGAGATAACCGATTGTAAAACCAGGAACTTACGAGACATGAAACTGCCGCAAATTGTCAAGGATCGCTATTTGCACGGAAGGACACTTTTGGAAAATTGCAACAATTTAGTGTTGTGTCTGTTATGATTCAATTATTTTACAGCATGAAAATTTTGTTAACTTGAAAACACTTACAAAATCCACTAACATTTGATGCAAGTGACAGTCTCAGGTTCTACAGTAATCAGAAAGGATAATTCCATATAACCTGCTTTTAGGAAACCTGAATGTCTCACAAACTTTTTTTCATTTCCTCACCATCATGTGTTGATGCATCAGGCTCTTCTTCAACGTTGTGTGTTCCCTTGGTCATCACGGCTTCTTTCTTCAAGATAACACTGTAAGGAACTCCTGAAAAGTAAATTACAATTACACTCCTAACAATTTACAATCATATAGCATTCTTACAAACTAACTGTTGTTTCAGCTATAATGTACAGTACATGTAGGTCACCAAGCTGTGAAATGCATGCAAACATGGTTTCTTGATAATAAACCACTTTGGTAATGCATTTAAATGAATGGACATTCTCTTACAACATACTAAGCTGTGACAAGCTACTTGGTTCAGCTGTTTCAAACAGTTGAGCAGTTTCTTTTGTTAAGCAGCATTTGGTATGCATACATTGTTGTTTGGTCAGATGAAGCTTGACTTATTATTCAAAAGAGTGACAATGACATAGAACTGCTTGCAAAAATCACCCATTTGAGATACTGGAGTGACAAGACTTTCTGTTATAGTAGATATTCATTGATTTTAAAAACTAACTTTATTTTCATTATTGCAAAGTTGAAACTTTGATTCGACAAGGTTATCAAAATTTAATGCTTGGAAACATTTAAAGTAATGATTATTATAAATTACAAAACGCTTAAATAAAGCCCCGGCATAGCACCTGAAGAGCTCTCCGAATGCTGCTGAGATGTGTGAGATCACAGTATAGACATGATTTGCACAAGCAGACGATGTCCCATGACATCTCACACATTTTCATCTTCTCTTGAGTTCTTTCTCTTACTTCCCTACCGTCAGGCTAAATGTACATGAATAATCTATTGCCTCACTCTAAACCCCGCGCATCGTTTAATTTTGATGACAAATGCAACGATACAAAAATAAAGGAATCTGTCGCTTGTAAACGCCATTGTATATTCAGCTGCACACACCGTGGTATGTTCGACGTTTCAAGAGGGAACAAATGCCGTCCTTAATATCATTCCGGGGGTATTTCAATTTGAAAGTCTGGTTTCTTTGATTGTTAATTAACTCCTACATGTATCTTGTGTATTTACAAGCAAATAATTTTAGTTATCAGAATCAGGTCATATCCCCTTTTGAATGGTTTGACATTTATATACACTACACTAAACTCATTATAATTGACAAATAATAGTTTTGCAATTGGGCAGGTCCAAGCTATTTGGATTGTGACGTACGGGACATTCAGAGACTTTAAACAAGAAATAACAACAGATGAAATTATTTATATGGCTATCTTTTGGTATGAGTCTGTGGCTGTTATGGGCTAGTTCATTTAAGTTTTAGTTCTGACCAACTCTTTAATTAATTTTTAATGTAATTAATGTGCCGCGTGATGTATGGGATGCTGCGAACCCCCACGTCACGCAGCACATTAATTACATTAAAAATTAATTAAAGAGTTGGTCAGAACTAAAACTTTCCACAAATGAACTAGCCCATAATAGCCACAGATTCATACCAAAAGATAGCCATATAAATAATTTCATCTGTTGTTATTTCTTATTTAAAGTCTCTGAATGTCCCGTACGTCACAATCCAAATAGCTTGGACCTGCCCAATTATGTTCATTCTTTATGGGATGTCGTCTGCTTGGGCAGTATTGGTCCATATTGTGACGTCATTAAAACATCGTTATTTTTCTGGCGAATCTCTCGTATATCCCAGCTGCTATGGAGGTGGTTGTATTTGTATTTTTATAAATCACCCGATATGTACATGTAGTTGACCTAAAACTTGTACGATGGCCATCTGTTAGCTTACCAGTTTCTAGTGATACATTACCGTAGTTGACATATTTGTGATTTTCTTTAAATTTCAACTTTAAGCAACTGTTGGCATTATACATGTATGTATTGTGAAAGACAAATATAAAGGCTTGCCCTATTATAACATGTACAGCTATACAGTGCATCTACGTGTACATACATGCATTCTGACTGCTGAAATACAATTATTTTAACAGGTGAATTAAATATTTTGTATAGAGGCACTCAACAAAGCGTATTAGGCCTACAGTACATGTGTAGATTAAATTTGGTTACATTACAAAATGGCCTACATACTTTCCCTTTCTCTCCTTTTCTTTTTTGACACTGTTGAGCATGACTGCCACTTTAATAGTGACAGTGGTTTTTGCCTGCAAACTAGAATGCTAGTGCTGTCCGAGTCTAAATTGTAAATGAATATTTTTCTGTTAGTGTAATAATTTAACTTCTTGATCCCGTCGCTTTCTCCTTTTTCCTTTTCTAATAACATTATCATTCTTCTAATTTTTTCCTAGAGTCTAGATCTTTTTAATCCTTCTCATTTCATGTACATGTACGTCTCTCTAATTCCTCTTTCTTTCTTGGCTACTTGTCTTTCCGTCCAATTTAGTTCAAGCAGGCTTCATTCACTTTTCTCTCTCTCTTCGCCATATGGCATTATCTTTCAACTTTCAAGTGACATTGGCCACTGGCACTATAGGCCTAGGCCTACTGTTTTTTCTTTCCTTTCTCTTCTCTCAGGACTTGCCCTTTTCCCTTCTCGTTTCTTCCTCTCCTTCCCTTCTATGTTGTCCTCCCTCCTATTTCCTCGTTCTATCCTTCCCTTTTATGCCAACAGAGTTGACACATTTGCAGACAAAAATGTTTAGTGGGACTGGGTCACGTACGTCCTAGACAGAAAGAACCGTCTGATATGGGTCATTTCTTTAATAAAACTTGACATTTGTTGACATTCTATAATCGGAGGTCTAGTGGAGCCAGCAAACTGCAAAGTCTCAGTGGAACAACCGACGATATAGAGAGACTGAAGCTTTAGTTTTGGTCTACGTACATGTACGTCCCTGTTAAAGTTGAAGTATTATTAATAATCTAGGCCTATTAACAACAATGATTAAAAATGAAAAAGAGACAAGTTAAAACAATTTCAGAATACGTTGTGGAAAAACTAAAAATCAAATCATCCAAATATGTGTACGCACCTTCGAATGGACATGGTGTGATGGGCTGCATGATGTGCATCGGCCAGCAGTCTTCGCAGCTCGGCTCAGCTCAGCTAGCGGGCAGAGTCCCCGCTGGCACGGAGATCTCCCGGCCCACGCCACGGCCTAGGCCTACTCCTAAACAAGACAAGCGCAGCGCACTCTCAAGTATCATTTTTTAACGTTCTTTGCAATCCGTCTAAGTTCAATTATGATTGCTCAAAAACGTTTTCTCCGTCAATTCTTCTGAATCTGCGATCTAAAGCTGCTAAGATACTTTTTATCAATCAATGGAAACTTCTAAAATAGGAGTCGGCGGCCAATTTTCAGTCCACTTTTGCACTCCCCGCGATATCATCTGTATATTTTATAGCCTCATTTCAAGACCTCATAGTGCGGTGTGCAGTGGGCAAAAAGATAGGCCATGTGAAAACAGAAATCTTTGATATTATTTAAATTGAGTAAACCAGGATTAATGGATCATTACCAAAATGGCTCGTCATAATTATATGTGAGATATCTTGGGGAAAAGGTGTAATAATCTTTCTTTCTATAAATTCCACCTCTCTCTCTCTCAATCTCTATTCCCTCTCTCCCGGCCTCCTTCGCTCTTTTTCTCTCTTCCTCAATCCCCCTCCTTATTATCATTCTTTTGTCTGCTTTCATCCAGTTTTTGAATGCCGGTGTTTAAAAATATCTCTTACTCATTATCTTGACATACAAGTCCAAGGCCTTTTAATTATTCTCAATCAGATTCTGCAAGCATTTGTGCACAAATTAATATTTACAAATAGTCATGAACAAAATCAAACATATCAAACAGAAAGAAAATCAACTATTTTCTTCAAATAAGCATTTTATTGTGTTGTGTAACAGAGATGTAAAAGATATAAATTGAATAAGGTTAATTAATAATTGATGTCATAGTACACAGTTAAGGACACAATGGTTCAGGAAATCATTAAAGAAGTTGGCCCACGATAAAACAGTATGTATCGAGTAGGAATTACAGGAATGTATTCTACTACAAATCTACAATGCTGGTAACTAAAATATAGCAAAACTGTTAAGTACTAAATCTAACTTGAAGTTAACATATCAACAAATTTTTCAAGTTGGATAATTTGATACAAATCCAGTGCTTCTAAATCACAAGCTTCTTTCAACTTGGCAGTGCATATAGCACAAAGTATTTAAAGCCGGTCTACTATATAAATCAGGTTCTGATTTGAAACCAACATGAACAACAGACTAAATGCCTTGACTGCTGAACATACACATTGAGAATTCACACAAAAAGTCTTGAGATTAAAAGATAAAGAATGGACCACTTCATATCTTTCATTAATTTAAAGAATAATGACATATTCTTTAGAAAAAGAACAATAAAATATCCATGCTATTTGGATATGTACAATGTACAATTATCAATAGGGATACAATGTAGAATACAGACATAGTAGTAATATTGATAAATATCAGGAACAAAAATATATATGCACAAATATTCAACAACAGGCCTCCTGAAATCATTTATGATACATGTCGATGAAATTGAATAAACAGTATTGTCACCATTTATGGTAGTTGCACATAGACACAAAAGAAAGAGCAGCTTTCAGTTTTCAAACTTAATGAGAAGAACATGTACAAGAAGAATATGATAAGTTGTAGTATAATGTACAGGTTAAAATATAACTATACAAAAATCATAACTGTGCAACCTCCGTTTGTTTGGCACAGTATTTAATTCTTTTACACAAAATCAAAGCTTTGGCTTCACCTAATCATCAAAATCACTAGAAATACGCTGAATTGTACATAATCTGGTTGCTTTAATACTTATAAGCATTGATGCTTTCTCAATATTAATCAGGTAAAACAAACAATCAATCAACAAAATATTACAACCCTGTATCCAAATTTCCAAGATTGTTCACCATGCAAAAAAATCATAGCGAAAAGTTAGAATACATTTTAGCTTGTGATCTATAATCATTGTTTTTAGAAATTCTTAATCGGCGCTTTTTCATTGTTATTGTAGATTTCGATAGATATATGTGAAAGACAATAAATTTGTGACATGATAATAATTGTAACTTGCACTACACCCGAGGATTGGGGCTAACATTGCGCTATATTACACGGCTACTCCATCAGATATCCACACACACACAAAAAAAAAGTTCTAAACTACAACAGGCCTGAAAGAACGACTAAAGACATATACAATTAGATAATTATGTATGTACAGCTAAATGTGCTTACAATAGACCTTATAGCTCTTACAGACATTTTTCATGATTGAGAATATATACAGTTTAGAGTGAAGCAAACAGACAAGACATAGTATCACAATGAAAGCTTGTTTGAATATATTATTTGAAAGTGATCTCTTTTTTTTACATAATATAATAAAAACATCTTTTATTTTACAGAAATACAAATACAAATCTTAAGTAAATTTGAGATGATAAATGTACATAGATACAAAATGGTGTAATCAATAGAAAGTACAACGTAAACCCCACAATTTCTTTTGGAAACTCAGGTTTGATCGATCTTTGAAGAGGGTACGACTGCTGTGTTAGTGTAGTGCACTGCATAACAATATCAGATGATAAACTTTTACCTACAAAGTACATAAAACAGGGACTATTCTTCACTCGGCTTTAATAATAAATCCTCCCACAGTTTTAATCTATTTATTACTCATGATATTTATTCACACAACCGGTATATAATGGGTATTATATCATACCTTAGATATCTATCATACTAAATTTTGTTAACATAGAATCATAATACATGATACATAGATATATAAAGTTTCACTGTTCATAATTGACAATTTTACCCAAAAAATTTGCATCAGGACGTCCAAAAATATGACAAACACATACAAATATAAAAAGACTAAATACTATGGTAATATAAATCTTCTTAATAAAACTTTCCTTTTTTTGCCCTAGCTCTGCATATGACATATAAAGGACATAAGGTTTTCATAGTTACAACATCGCTTGAGACTATTTATACAATCTTTAGAGTGTAGGAAAAAGAATAGAACTATAAGGAAGAAACTGATAGAGAATTTGTTCAAGAATTAGAAAGAAAAAATACTGGAAATGGAAGGGAAAAGGGGGGAAAAGTTTACAAAATGAACAAGGAGAAGAGGTGTTAACTCTGTATTAAAGAAAGTGAGTGCTCTTTTGGCTTCAAACTGACGCTATTATCTTTGAAATACATATGGTTCATTTGTACAGATTGTGCACATATAACCTCTTTCTACCAAACAAGTTTTGTGCAAAATATTTACTTGAACAGTGACTTCTTTACACACATCCTTGAAAATGCAACATGTTTCTTTATCAAGTGTATTTCTGACAATGGTAATGGAAAGATGTATTCAATCTTAGTTTATACATCAGTTACTTTCATAGGAATATATATTTTGTTATAAGTTTTATAATTATCCTTATTAATTCTCTATAATGGATTGTAGTTTTAATATTCCACAACCTGATTACCGTAGAAGTAACACTTTGTTTACATACAGATGACAGGCAGGATTGAAGATAAAGAGTTATCGAAAGATATCAAATTTCTATGTAAAAAATCTGAGTTTCCCGATATTTGCAATTGCTAGAGGCTTGAGGTCAAGACTCTTATCATTTCAAGGTTATCCAATGACAACAAGGCAACAGTGAGATGTAAAGTTGATAGGTTAGAGGAGAATGTTCACATATTATTTTCATTCGATGCATAGAGATTTGTGAATACATGCACAATTCATTTCTTTCTTGGACGATATAAATACTGACAATTAGTTAGCATGATTGTGTTGCATTCACTGAAATATGATATGATACATCCATGATTCTATACATCACACAACTATCTCGATGCATATGATTGAAGAAAAAAAATATACATGGCGAAATATGTTATTACACAAAAATATACATGTACACTATACCAAACATTTAAAAATTATTCTTATTATTCTATTTTTTTACAAATAGTCAAAGAACAACCATATCATTATCATTACAGGGCATCAACTGTTTCACCTCCTATTCAAGGGACATATGTGAACCAAACCACCAGCAACAATCAGTCTGACAGACTATCAACATGTATACACAGGTTTAAATACCATAATTATAAAACATGATCATCTTAATAAATGGCTGACATGATTCAGATAAAGAGATTCAAAATAGACACAGACACTGGTATTTTTGTTATATAAACATTATCTCTGTACATTTGAATTAGTTTAGGACCAATCTAAACTTAACAAAAACAAATATTGGTATAAAACTTTGGCATCTACGAGGATGATATATTTGGAAATGTGCCACTTACAATGGGTATGAAAAGGAAAAAATTACTTTGCAAAAATTAAATCTCAAAACCAAAGTATTTTTTTGGAAGTATTCATATGGAAAGTTGGCAATAACTTGAATGAGATTTGGCCATGTACATGTAAGTATCAGGAATGGCTACATTGGAATACAGGGAAATATTGGCTACCTTCATTTTATCATGCAAGGAATGATGGTGTTAGCACCGGGGTCACGATACCTTAGCACTAGGACAAACTCAGCATGGTGCAGCAATCGGGCAATAAGAATTCAGTGCCAGATGCACATAATTATATGTCTTGTTTACCCAGGGTAGCCTCATCAGTATTCTCCTGTTTTTGTTGTTGTGATGGCCCTGTAATCACAGGACCACTATTAATAGCATTAAAAGTCATATGTTGTAGAATTTCACCTCATGAAATTTCCATCATAACCTTTTTACTATTTAACACATTCCTATCAATTTTTTTTTTTTAATGTGTTTTAAGTACTCAATTTAAAATTTGAAACTAAACATTCACATGTGTGTTGATGATATATTCAGATCTCTGAACTACATGTACATGTAACAAGTTTTTGCAAAGTCTGAGATGTCCCTAGTGCAAAATTGGCCCAGAGCTGTAAGTGCTTCTCTTGGACTTTAGGCATGTTTATATTCAAGCTAGAAACAAATTGCAGGCATATTGATATGATTGAGATAAATGTAAATTGATTATATAAAAAAAACAGAATTCCTGAGCATATCACAGTTTATATTATAATTCAAAGTATCATGTAACATTTGTGCCTCATAAAAATAGGGGTTGGGAAGAAAAACATCACTTAAAGTTTCAAAATTTTGGTTAAACAATAATTCCTGAGTAATATTTCATATACTGGTGCCTCATCTTGAATATTCTAATATTTGTTCATTTGCTGTTCTGGTTACTTTCAATTGGTTTATGCCTATCCCATTAAGTGATACTCGTCTGCATATCGAAACAAGGAGAAAGAAAATGAATGGATGAACGTTTTTGATTCATTATATGACCATCGTACTCTGGTAGCTGGATTAATGTAAATGTTAAACGTAAAATCAATATAAAAATGTTAATCATACAGACCGTTGGCAAAGAATTTGCCCAGGAGCTAATTGTATCTAACAATTGATAGAAAGCCCGCCCCATAGGATCCTTGAATCAACCCAATGCCTGAGAAAAAAGTGGTTCTCATATTAATAATTTGTCAAATCTTAATGATAACAATAAATTGTTACCTAATCCTGACGAGGCACAAGGGCTCCAATCAGGGAAGTCTACACTCACTGATGATTCTCTATTCTCCGATGTTCTCGACAGAGTCTGCCTCACCTAGCGTCAGGTTGCCGTTGTCCAGGATCAGCTGCAGCATCCTCTCCATCTTATCGTTCTGTGACTTGACCTGTTTCATCCTCCACTTGAGGTTCGCTACCGTGTCGCTGATGACCTCCTGCTGCGCGCCAATCTCCGCTAACTCACCCTACGATAGGAAACAAAAGTACATTAGAAGATAGAGTAAAACCTGTCTATAAAGACCATCCAAGGGAGACAAGAAAAGAGGTCTTTATAGGCAGGTGGTTTTTACAGGTTCCTTTAGTACATGTTTCATTGCGAAACTATTTTTAAGTGGGGAAAAAAGTGGTCTTTGTAGACAGGTGGTCACTAAAGCAGGTTTGACTGTATTTTGAATATAAAAAGGATTTGCACTTGCAAAACTCACCCTATGATAACAAACAAAATCATAGTGGAAGGTAATTTGAACGAAAAGAAGGTTTTGCAAGTATTAAACCTTATTTAGTACAAAATCTTCAGAGACAAAAAAAGTTATAACTTTCCCTTTTATTTAGCAATAATTAATTATCACATAGCTACATTTATGTTGGGCACATATCAATCCCAGGGGATTCTCAAGACACCTACCAAGGACTAGTAGTACCCTGGATTTAGCCAAGACACTCAAAGCATTAAAAATATAAATTCCTATCGGGTACCCATTTACTACACCTGGGTGGAGAGTAGCAAGTGTAAATTAATGAAGATTGATTGCGGAATAACTTAGATAAAATATCAGTAATAATAAAATAATTGGATAGCAACTTTTTGCAGATTATATAAAATAAACTATGATAATGGTAATGGCAGCAAGGGTTCTGCTTTAATAGTGACCTACCTTTTCTGGGTTTAGAGCAGTTTCGATAGCTTCAGTGAGAACAAAGTCATAATCTCCCCTCAATGAAGCATAGATCCTGCTGAACATACTGGTAGCAAATCGATTGGGGTAGATTCTCTTTGTCTTGATGATGTAACGCCTCCAGATAAAGGACGGGAGGGCTTCTTGTACATCCATGGCCAGATCAACCTAGGAAGTGAGATTGAAAGGTTTACAATCATAATGTTATCAGGATAAATATCATTAAGTGCATGTATAGTTGTAATTAAAGTTAATACTTTTTTATTGTCTTACCAATTATTTCCAGGTACAATCTTCTAAGAGAAAAAGTATCGCACTCACTTAAAACTTTAGCGATGTAGTAAATGGTTATTTGTCTATGTTAACAGTGTAGTTCGTAATTTACTGGTATATAAATGTCAGAGTCTTTTGTTTCGCAAATGACTTCTGCCACAAAAAAGAAACATAGTCAAAGTAGTACAGTACTGTCTTAATTTATAAGACTTATTTCTAAGTGTGAAGGGTAGTAGTACTACTACTTCTTTCATTTTTTTTCTTTTGAATTCCATTTCAACTACAATATAAATCATAAAATATGAGAGCCTATTTTAAACAATCTAGGCAACACATACAGATATCATCACATGCAAAGACTTTACTGAATAGCTGTATTTGAGCACATCTTCCATATCTGGATTGGTGCGGGTCCTGATATAGCTGGATAAACTAGGTTGAAATTAAAGAACAATAACTGAAATTCAATAATCATTATAACTCTCTTACCTGCATAGCAAGTCTCTGTAATTTGGCTTGTTCCTGAACCTCCTTGATGTCATCTACTGCCAGACCAACCTGGGAGAGAATGAAAAGAAACAACAGAATAATGAAAAGATCCAATATACACTACCCTATGCTGTATCTATATATTCCCACAGGAATATTCATTGTGCAGAAATGAAGTGCATTTCAATAATATCATTTGCATTTTATTTATTTCCCATAAAATAAAATAAAATACATGGGATTACATCATACATAGTGAAACAATGAAACTTAACAATTTGTAATTGTAACTGTAATTGGTCTACAATGTACAACAGGCATTGAAAACAGGTTGATCATGGAGGGGACTGCTGAAAAGCTGGGCTTGTAGATTGCATCCCCCTATCGTGTATCAATAATATTAAGAGAATGCACAAATAATAAATGTGTGTCTCTCTCTCCAGAACCCCTGGTTTAACATACAACCCCATTCACCTGCTATGCATAATAGCATCTCTATAGTTGGAATCCACTTTGCATACACTGACTGTTGCTATGTCTGGCAATTCTCTGACCAGCTTTTGGATTCTTTCAAGAAGCATGCATGATTAGACAACAGGGCCCCGTCTTACAAAGAGTTACGATCGATCCAAATCAATCTTAAGCCCTCCAATCAATCGCAAGTTTGCAGTCTCCTATCTCTTATGTACATAGTTGCGATTGATATCAATCGCAAATACTGTTGCGTTTGATATCAACTCTTTGTAAGACAGGGCCCAGGTCTATTAATTCAAAGTGACTTCATAAATCCCAAATATTTGTGAATCGATTCATAGTAGATTGGGGGAGGGGGTTATATTAAACCTTGCATGCATCTTGATGTGGTGCATAACTAAGTTTTGACTTTTAACTATTTGATTACTGATTTCTCGTATTTCCATAGACTTTATACAGTGGCCATAGACAATGGGTATATGGCCAAGAAAACGTTGACATCAGAATTCCAAATTTTGATCTGTACACAAACATTTAAGCCAATGCTGCTACATGATAATAATAATAATAATAATAATAATATTCCGCTTTTATATAGCGCCCAATATATATATTATTACCCCGGTCATCAGATTCAGGCCTAATGGCACACAATGTATGCACATTCTCCACTCCCTGGGAAGCATACCGGCCAGTCACCATTTTACAAGCGCACACTTGCTCATCCGACCACATTAACTTTCGCAGTTAACCTTGTGATCTGCAGTCCGGTGACTTATCCACTAGACCACACCTCTGCAGATACTCTCTACTAACACAGATCTCTACACGTGGGACTCACCAGTAAGTTCATGATGATGATTGACATGATGACCACGAAGACCACGAAGATGATGTAGGTGATCTCCTGGTAGTAGACGTGGCCAACGAAGTCCTCCTGATCGGTCAGATCAACCTCGGTCAGATAGTCTTGGGTGTGGAAGATAGAATCAAACTCAAACTCACCAATCATCATGACAAAGGTCTTTACCAGGGAGTACTCTACACGGTTGAATGGAGACTGTAAACAAAGAAATCAAACAAAGAGGATATACAGTCAAACCTGAGTGACCACCTGTCTACAAAGACCACATTTTTTTTGTTTCCCTTGAAAATGGGTTTCTCATTGAAACATGTACTAAAGGAACCTGTCTACAAAGACCACTTTCTATGTTTCCCTTGGGTGGTCGCTATAGAAAGGTTTGACTGTATTATCCCAGTAATAGACACCGCTAACACTTCGGTTGCTTTCCTTGCCTCTCTTCATGGTCGCTTATTAGCCGCATGCGCAATAAATTCTACTGATTTGATTTGATTTATTGGTTTCTGCATCTTTTTCCTTTTTTTCATCATACATTTTCATGAACATAATATGGCTTGATACAATATTTCAAGTGTTTATATTTTTATACAGATAATAAACGATATTAAACAAATATATTGAATTTAAACAAATATATTGAATGCATAATTAACATACATTAGATGCAGGAGGGCTACAGAAATAAGCAAAATAGCTTGACGTGCCAGCAGCCCTCATAATGATAGGCAAGTCCAAGCTAGTTTGTCTCATATGCTACTGATGGTGACCCCATTTAAAATTGAAGATTATCTTTTTATTGTATGGAGTATATAAAGTGAAACAACTATATACGGTGTCAATGATAATATAATAATAATAAAAACAATAATCCATGTTTATCTAGGGCTTAATTCATCAACGATGTCTCTAAGCGCTTTACAGATATATTATTAACTCGGTCATCAGATTTAGGCTTGCCCGCACACAATGTATGCACATTCTCCACCCCCGCAACACAGTCTGATGACTTATCCACTAGACCACAACACCTCTATGGAATGACATACCTGATTCATAAGGAGAGCGTAGAAGGCCAGTGCAAAGGCAATGATGAAGAGGATGAATAAAACCACAAAGTTGGCAAAGGTCTTCAAGATATCTGAATTGATCAAGATAAAAATTAGGGTAAAAATTCATTAAAATTAAATAAAAGCTCATATCAAAGTTAATAGTGAACATCTGCATGAATTTCAGTGACAATTTTAATTCCTATCATTATAGAACCATTTGAGTAAAGAGTATACTACACCACATACATGTAGCTTATCGGAATTTGATAATTATTATGTTATTGCTGTGGGAATTCAGTCCATTATTATTTTTGTTCCAAGGGAAATCCCCCTCTATAACATCAATTTTTTTTCTCAAAAAGGAAAAACAATCATTTATTAACCCATCATCTTTATTTCTTTGAATTCAAATTAAGCTGTGGGTAATTTGATTTTTGATCAAAGAAACTATTAAGGGCTAGTCACTATCAATGATAACCATGAGTTCTAGATAGAAATTCACCTGTAAACATGACAACGTAGATGCCGAGCTGAGGAAACTTTCTGATGAAGAGAATAAGGTTGATCCAAGCTAGGAAGATACCTGCAGCACCACACTGCCACTGCCACGCCTGTGTGGTAAAAACATGAAACGATAAAAACAGTTTCAAGATTCAAATCATCTGGGAGAGGGAGAGACTAATATTTCATTGCTATCCCATACTAAATATATCATCATCCTTTCATTGGCTTGTGAATGTATGCAAGCAAGCTTTCAGTTTACAGCAATGACATCTTGATACCCCTGTCACACCAAGAAGACGGACACCAAACCGGCCGCTCTTGGCCATTTGGAGTAATGTTATTTTTTTGTTGTTGTTCCATTGTTCGGTCTATTGTCAGTCTGGTGTCGGCCATTTTGTTGAGGCTAGAGTACATGAATAACCCTTTCTATGCTGTCACATTTTTTTCAATATTTACCATAAGTGAACTTTAAACAGCTAATATCTGACCTGTGATGATTCATTAATTTGTTTTGGTCAATGGGGGAAGAGAAATTTATAACACAGGTATTTATTTCTGTTTCATGAAGAAGCAGTGCGTAGCCAAAAAGACATTGTTGAACAATTTTTTTTTTTTTTTTGGGGGGGGGGGGGCTGGATTTGTTGCCCATTGCATGGAAAAGGTTATGTGAAATGCCTTTGAGATGATTGCTAACTGCATATGCCGGCATTTTAGGTGACAGCGCAAATTTTTGCTCAACAAATCAAATTCAATCCTCACAGTCACTGTCAGTGCATGGTTCTTTAAAGGGATCTGGTAACTTTGTCTCAGATTCTGAAACAAAATCCTGGATTTAGCTCATGCTGCAATCATAATTATAAACCTTTAGGTCAGTCAGGAACCCCATGACTTTTGAAAGCCGATCGCTTGTCTGATTATCAAGATATTTATGATTGGAAATCAAAACCAAATTTTGCGATGTCCTGACGGTTTTCATAACACTACAGTCTATTGGGGAAAACGAGTATGGTAAAAACGGTCACGTAAAGATTTGTACTTTTTTAAGGCACTTCTTGATATTTTGAAGCGCGATTTTTTTTTATGGCTTCAATATTACAACCATATGACAGACACTGATAACACGTAGAGCCATGCATCTCAGATTTAACATTGTTAAACAATGCCTTTAATAGGAGTAGAAGGAAGGATGGGATACTTGCCTCTCTAACCCTTATTTCGCCCGCGCCGTCTCCGTAAGGGTACAAGTATGGACTGACAGGTGCTACGAAGAGAATAGCCAGACCGTAGACGCACCATTCCAGCAGGTTCTCAAAGTCCAGGTAGTTCAATTTCTGATGGTAGATCTGAACAACCTGGAATAAAAACGTCACAACAGGCAAGGACAAGTGTAAGCAAAATAATAACATCCAAATAAGATCACAATTATGTTGAATATTCATCATCATTGTATGTATCTACAATTACTATTTATATGTCTTCTTGAAATATTAGTTATATTGTACAAAAATCATAACAAGTCAATGTAAAGCGTAGCATCCCCTCGCAGGGTACAAATGGCCTCTATACGTCAGAACAAGATGGACTACACTATTATATTACTAGACAAGGAAGTTAACCACATTTTCACATATATAATTAGGTGTTTTTGCATATTTAATGAGCTATGACCTTTCACCTGTGACCTACATACTCAGAAATCAAACTAAGGCTTTACATGTATTTTGATACCATGTACCTTCACATCAAATTTCATTTAAATCCGTCAAACAATACTAAGGTTATGGATCGGAAACCAGATTCGCATATTTCATGAGCTATGACCTTTGACCTACGTACTCCAAAATCGAACTTAGCCTGTATTTTGATATCATGTACCTTCATATCAAATTTCATTAACATCTGTCAAACATTACTAAAGTTATCGATCAGAAACCAAATGTGTATTTTTTCGCATATTTAATGAGCTATGACCTTTGACCATTGACCTACGTACTCCAGAATCAAACTCAGCCTGTATTTTGATATCATGTACCTTCATATCAAATTTCATTAAAATCCGTCAAACATTACTTAAGTTATCGATCGGAAACCAAATTGTTACGGACGGAAGGAAGGAAGGACGGAAGGAAGGAAGGACGGAAGGAAGGAAGGACGGAAGGACGGACGGCAGCGTTTCTGTATCCCCTCCGACTTCTTCGGCGAGGGGATAATTAAAATGTTATGACTGCGAGGATTAAAAAAAAACATTTTAAATTTAATTCAATTCACCATAATTCATCTCTATTCATGTTCACGAGTGAAACCCTGTTCATCTTCCCAGTTTATGGCAAATCTAAACTTAAACCCAACTCTATATTTTTGGCGAGATGAAACCTGTGGCAAATTGTCTCTGGAGCAAATGTGAGATCACCTTGAAGACTTACCTCTCTCAGTAGATTAATCCCAGCAAGCGCTATGATGAGCCAGTGACCGATCTCCGCGAAGACGAAGAACGTTGCATTGCTGTACGCCTCCATCCAGCGCGCATTGCCATCAAAGTTGAAGACGACCTTGTCCTCTCCGTTGGCGTCTGCGGTGATGTTGAAGTAGAATGGTGGAGGGTTGACCACCAGGTAGCCGGTGAAGAAGGTCAGGAAACAGAGGTAGAAGAGGAGGGAGGAGTAGTAGAAGAATCGACCGTAGTTGCTCCACTTGTGGTTAAGGAGACTCGTCACCAGAGGGTGTCCTAGCAGCTGCTCACGTTTTGATCTCACCTAAAAGGGAGAAAAAAATGAAGATACAGTCAAACTTGCTTTAGCGACCACCTGTAGTGAAAGGCCATGGTCTTGTTTCACAAAGCCTTTTTTCAATGACAAATGATAAAAATCAGTGACAAATCTGCTGATAACCAATCAGAAGCAAGGATTTCACAAGCTTTCAACAAATACTGTCCATTTGCACTGATAACAAGCTTGGTGAAATGGGGCCTATGTGTCTATAAAGACCATATTTTCCATTTTCCTTGAATAGTGTTTCTCATTGAAACATGTACCAAAGGAGCCCGTAAATAAACAGCAACTGCCTATAAAGACTGCTTTCCTTGAAGAAGGATCACTGATAGTGCTGTAGCCAAACCGCCGAACCGAACAGAAGTTTGCCGAACATGGCACTTCCAAACCAAACCGAACCGAACCGAACCGAACGCAAAGGCCTGCTTCGGATGTTCGGCAGAAAAATATAAAAGTTTTTGCAAGCTAATAAACTTGTCATTTTGTACCTAATTTTCATGTCGTGACTGCTCATTTTATATTTACTTTTTTCCCATTTTCCGCCTTTGTGATTTATGCCTATCCAGTGGTGGGCGCGACTTCACTGGCGCCATTTAAATCCCAAATCCTGACCACGCTATACGTTGCGATCGCAAGCCATAAACAAGAATACATGTGCATGATCAAAATATGTTCAGCTCAAACCAATTCAACAAAAAATTAATATTTTAATTGTAACAATATCGGACAAATTTTACAATATAAATAATGAAATAAATATATATTATAGTATGGTATTTATTTATTCAGGAAAAATAGGGATTTTATATTTTTCCTATTAAAAATAAAAACTTATACAAAACAGTTATTGACGAACCTGAATTTCTATTCAAGATGGCAGCTTTCATGACTCTAACATTAGACAACAACCGTCTCGGAAAATCTTTAAAAAATATTCAATTTATTGACAAATTGAAAACATGATTCTTTTAAAATTGAAAATAAAACACGATTCAAGACGGAAATACGAATATAAGTAGTATTTTTCTTCACAAATAATTACGTTTAGAGCACTTTTAATGTGAAATTCGTACTGGTCGGAAGCAGTGTACAGAGGTCCTCTGTGCTGGTCGGGCCCGCCAGGCTGGCCGGCCCGCCCGCTAAATTTTTTTTCCTACGAACTTTGAGCTCGCGAGGGGAACCTGCGCATGCGCACTCGCGGAGGAAACCAGCGCATGCGCACATGGAATCCGGTAGGGCGGTCAATAGGGTGATAGTAATTATACAAAGCAATCTTTCGTCAACTCATCGTTAGCTCAATCGGTAAGGACAGCGTGTTACTAATAGAACCTTGGAGTTGCCGTGAGGGTTCAAATCTCAGTTTATTTAGTTTTTTACCTTTATAAATAGTGAGGCAAAGCAATAAATAATCAAAGTCTAATTGTTTGTGACCTCCTTGCATGCATCAAGTATAACAGTTCGTATGTGAGCATGCGCCAGGTATAAAAGTTCGTAGGAAAAAAAGTTCGCGGCCCGCCCAGTGCCGACCGCCGTGGCTATAACGCTGCTTGCTACTATATTACCGAACCGAACCAAGTTCGGGTGAAAAATTGCCGAACTCTGCCGAACCGAACCGAACACGAACATAGCGCCTGACTTACAGCACTAATCACTGAACATGAATTTCATACTTTTCCCAAGTTTTTTGTGGTTTAATGCTCACCACATATAACGTTTGTTAATGAGAAACGAGGAGACTACACACACACACACATGCAACAATCTCTTCACATTTCATCCAATGTGGGTCACTTAAGCATTTTATTTCCTGATTTCTCATATAATCATTAAAGTATATTACTGCTCATATCGAAATCAATGCCCTCTCAGATATTTCCATTTATACCTTCTGGACGATCTTTAAAGATGCATCCTCTTTCAAAATAAACTTGCCCCTTGAGATGGATCCAACCCCTACATCTCCAATGGGAAAACCCAATCTTCTTATTCAAGGTACAATAGGATGGAACTTACCATTATGACAAGAGGGTGGTTTTTCCTTATGGTTTCAGCACGGGTGGTGTATGGTGTTGCACTGTCCCTTAGTTGGCCATTGTCTTGGAATGGCGAGTCTGAACCTTCTGACCCATTATCAGATAAGTTGTCTGTTTGGATTCAAGTCAACGATACAAATAACAATTTTAATATCGATTTAAAGGGATTGGGTATCTTTGTTTCAGATTCTAAACAAAATCATGGATTTACATATAGCTCATGCTGTAATCATGATTATAAACCTTTAGGTCAGTCAGGAATCCCATGACGTTTACAAGCCTATTGCCTGTCTGCTATCAAGATATTTATGATTGGAATTCAAAATTTCAAAAAAAGTTTTCCCAACTGTTTTTATAACACTTAAGTCTAATTAGGGAAAATGGGTATGGTAAAACTAGTCACTCAAAGATTTTTACTTTTTTGAGGCACTTCATGATCATTTTTAGGTCTTCAATATAACACCATATCACAGAAGCTGATAACACATACAATGTATTAAAGTAAAGAAGTGAAAGTTGGAGACTAATATAGCTCTTTGTTTGAAGTTCGTAGCTTTTAAAGTGACTCGGTAACATTGTGGAAGGTTGATGAAAAAAATTGCTTAATTTTTGTATAAAATGTTACTTACTATATTCCTTTTACTATACTAACCCTCTGACATGCAAAAAATCCTGAACAAATTCTCAAACCACAAAGATATCTATGGTTTTCTTTGAAGACGTTGATGTGAGGCACCCTCTAACAGTGATTAACAGTAAATTCTCCCAACCATTTTTGAATTTTTCCAACCGTTTTCCCATGAGAAAAATACATAAAACAGGCTATAAAAATCTGTCAACACTTAACTGTCTAGAATGGAATGTAGAGCCATTTTATTGCTTTGTGACGATTTACATTCTCCTAAAATGTAATTAAATTGTCCTTGTCTTGATGCTGAACAGGCTTTGCAAGTAGCAGAATAGAAGTAGAATAATATAGTTGGGAGAATTAAGGAATCGATCAGATCAGTTTTTCCCAATTTGTACCATGAATAATGATCCGTTTTCACTCAAATTTTCAGATTATCTTTAATTGTACATCTAGCATTGAAGTCACTACCTTAGCACCACTATCTCTCATCTAAACAATGTTACAAAGTCCCTTTAAAGAGAAAAATACCTGGTTCTTGAAGCTTATAAATTGATATAAACCCAATGGTTTGCTATTTTTCAAAATCTATTATGATCCGGATCTTAGATTTAAGGACAGAATTAACATAATTCTAATAGATTTAAATAATTTTATGAATATTCCTTCTTGAATATGATTTCCTTTTTACATTGCTTGCATAATGTACATGGCAGAGGTATAATTATATTGTATTGTATTGGTTTATTGGGATAAAAATCATCGAAAATGCAGCTACATGTAAGAGCTGGAGTTGTTCAATTTACACAGTAAAAAGTACATGGCATGAAATCACATTGAAAATACATTAAAAGATATTTAAACTGAACAAATGTTGTGTCTATATGCAAGTGAGTTAAAAAGATTCATAGTTTATATAAAATTGCCATTTGTTTTAAGTAAAACAGAAATCTTAATAATACTATACATGTTTATTGCAACAATGACAAGTATGTACAGCCCATTAAAGGGACTTTGTAACATTGTTCAGATGAGAGATAGTGGTGCTAAGGTAGTGACTTCAATGCTAGATGTACAATTAAAGATAATCTGAAAATTTGAGCAAAAACGGACCATTATTCATGGTACAAATTGGGAAAAACTGATCCGATCGATTCCTTAACTCTCCCAACTATATTATTACAATTTAATTACATTTTACGTGAAAGGAAATCTCACAAAGCAATAAAATGGCTCTACATTCCATTCCAGACATTTAAGTGTTGACAGATTTTTTATAGCCTGTTTTTATGTCTTTTTTTCATGGAAAAACAGTTGGGAAAATCCAAAAATGGTTGGGAGAATTTAGATTCAGAAGCGCCGCACATCAACGCCCGTTCGAAAACCTGTAGAACTTTGTTTAAAATCTTCATATTGCGTGAATTAATCTCGGATTTGGGGCATCGTAGTTGGATAATCCATACATACACACATGATTTTACGTGCTTTGCATCCTGATTCAACCGATTTGTGAAATCAACCATCACAATGTTACTAAGTATCTTTAAGACTGAGAAAGATTGTGATTGTGATATCACATGTACATCAGAACATTACATAATTGTGCATACATTGTTGTGCACATATAAACATTTTAACTCACTAGGGGTTAATATATGATTATACATGCACATCTATATCTACACAAATCACATTCGAAATAAATTAACATAAATTTACTAAATTTAAGCTTATCTAGACACATTGCACAAGAGACAGTTACAATTAAAAGAACAGTTACTAGTTCACACAGCACTCAGCTAATAAAGATAAAAATGCTCAAATTAACTTGACTAAAAAATTATACCATGCTAATTTCATTATTTATTTAAAAAAAGTTAATGAATAAACATCACAACTTAGTGCCTTGTATGCAGAAGCAACAGGTGAACAGCTAAATGGGAGGGGGGGGGGGTGTAAAGGATGGGATGAAATCTATATTTAAAAATCATATCAAAAGTCATATCAGAACATTCCAAGTTGACTTATAATTGCCAAATAATCAATCTGTTTTGAAATTTAACTTTACATCAAACTTGGTTACTTGGGATAGATTCCGAGTAACAAGATCCTTTGTTTTAATATATCTCTGATATAGTGGAGTTTAAGCAAAAGTCACAGGGTATACTACCGGTATGTCCCATTTGCAGGCCAAAAAAACGAAAAGGTTAAATTCGAACGGCATTTGAAAGATAATACAATTTAGAACTTCCCTCAAAATGAAAGGGCTTGAAAATGTGTTTTAGTGGGAAAATAACAACCATTAGTTGTTGAATCGACTTTAGTGACTGCAATCCATTTTAATAGTACCGAATGGTTGTACTTTTTGTGCTGTGCAAAGATTCAATCTGTTTATTTTGGCCATTATAAGTAGTGGGTTATTGATGTAGACAAATGATCATGTACCTGTTACAGCTCATTTTATGTATGTTGGTAGCAAAGAAAAAAAAGTCAGTCAGTCACTCAATAGTGTCTGACAGTGAAGTCTACGTAAACAGGATTCCTTGCACAATTTGAATAATAGGACACTGCTAAGTCTTACATTTCACAGATAGGACATACGTGACATATTCATAATTCCTGGAAATTTCTACAGAATTTGATGTTGGCTGCAAATGGGACATAGTACCTTTAATAAACAAGTTTCACTGTGTTACAATGACACATAATTAATGGAGTGTAAGTGCACACTGTCTACAAGAAATGATTTAAAGTGACAATACATTATGAGAATGTTAAGCAGATATTAAGATAACATTTAACTCTTCATTATTAAGCAGCACATGTCTTAAACACAAGATCTTACCTTTACCAAAGTGACCTTAATTTTTTGAAAGCATTTAGGTAATTTAGCATTTTTATAGAGAAAAGATTTAATAAAAAATGGATGAAAATATATAGCTTACAAAATTATATCCATTAGCAACACCAATTATGTTCTTGCCTTTATAATCCATCTCCATATTCATGCATAATTATTTTGTGAGCTGTTTAATTTTTTTTTTTTAATCAGCGAAAAAAATAAATGTCAATTTGAACTTTAAATAATGCAAAGGAAGGAAAATACAATAGGTTCAGCTTTTAATGCACAATATATCCTTTTCTTGTTCCCATGCATATCATATTACAAGGTACAGGCAGCATTCCCTTTTCATTGCAGAATAATATAAGAAAAATCATGAAGAGGATAATAAAAGAGAAATCACGAAGAGAATAATTTATACATGCTGCAGACATCATAAGGTGATGCACATAGTATACAACCATTTTGAAATGTTATTGAGAATCAAGCCAATCGGAGCAACATTCAAATTCTCATTTCTGCTTAAACTCTTTGAGTTCAAGGGGCTGGCGACTACAGAGCTAATTTCAATCAAACTAATGTCAAGTTGGACTTCCACTTTAATCTCTCGTTAGGTATTCTTCTGCCTAAAATGATGATAATTTGACCAGTTGGAAGAGAACACTTGTACAAATGACCCCAAGTATCCTCAGATCTTTTCAACAAGGATAAGTCCCACTTTGTGCATTTTAGAATGATCACTTCCAGAGTGATGGTGGTGCTTCACGAATACCTTTTGTTTGCCCTCTTGAAAAGCATACTTTCACCTGTCTATCATAGAATGCACCGTCTATGCATAAATGAATACAAATTAAATACTTAGATGAACAGATACCTAGTATTTGTCTAGTTGGGTTTTTCGGCTTTGCCACAAATAACCTTTCTATGCCCATGCGCAGATAGTATCTCCAAAGTGGCATATTAACCGTGACAGATATATTGTCTGTTCAGGGCCAGAAAGGAATTAACTCTGCATTAAAGTACAGCCAAACCGCCTAAGGGAAACACAAAAAGTGGTCTTTCTAGACAGGTAGTTTTTGTAGACAGGTTCCTTTAGTACATGTTTCAATGAGAAACCATTTTCAAGGGAAACAAAAAATGTGGTCTTTTTAGACAGGTTCCTTTAGTACATGTTTCAACGAGAAACCATTTTCAAGGGAAACAACAAAAAGTGGTCTTTCTAGACAGGTAGTTTTTGTAGACAGGTTCCTTTAGTACATGTTTCAATGAGAAACAATATCAAGGGGGAAAAAAGGTGGTCTTTGTAGACAGGTGGTCACTAAAGCAGGTTTGACAGTCTATGAGTTAATGCCCTACAAACAGAAGATATTGAGGGTTCAGTGACACAAAGTCGTAACTCCATATTTTGCCAAAATGAGTATTTGATATCAAAATGTTCAGAAAAATGTGGGCTTTCCAGGAAACACAAAGACTTAATTCCACCCAACACCCCATTGAAGGCAATGGCTCAAGTGCTCTGTGACACATAAACCACTTTTTCTCAAAATGGCCAAAATGGAATTACGTCTTTGTGTCACTGACCCCTCTATTATGAGAGTAATCTGTCTCACCTGAGGTATCTTCACCCCATCTGGAGAACATATCATCCAGGAGCTCGTAATCAACTGTGATGCAGTAGTCCCTGTGTTCCCGGGGTTTGTCGTTCTCAATCATACAGTTGTTGAATACCTTCGCCGCCACCTCTGAAAAGGTGCAAAAATGTTTCATTATATCAAGGTCAAATATTGAGATACAAACTAGTATATCTATAGAACAATCAATATGTAGCATTGCATTGCTGACAATTACTGGCCCTAGTATTAACAGTGCTTCTTCTATATCATAAACTCCAGATAGCTGCTGACTTTTGTTTTCTAACTCCATCACATGAAAAACAAATCATAATTTATCGCTGTATTAAAGCATTATACCTCTATGTGTCAACATTTTCTATTACTCCTTGGAATTAATATTCCTGTGGAAAAGTAAGACTGTAATCAACAATCATGCCATGAAAATATTTTTCAAGGCCTTTTTTAAAATGATTTTCGAATGGGCGTGGAAGCTACTATACAAAATGTTAAAGTTGTATTCATATAGGAAATACTGTACTCTATTAAATATTCATGCTATATAAGTATCTTACCAGGCATTTTCTTGATGAGTTTTCTCATGGGTGTGGTCCTTTCCATGGTAACGGCGTCAATACTCTCAGAATTCAAAGCATCTTTCCACTTTGAATGAGAGATGATCGCCATAGCAACATCCCTGCAAACAGAAAACAAAAATGTACATCATCCAGTTTAATTCTATTTGATTTTTTTTTTTTATTTTCAACCTTCCAGTGAGAAAAAAAAAACATGCAAAATACAGAATGATGTACATTTCATAAAATAGAAAGGGTTATAGGACACCTTCCCCCTGAACATTCACCCCCAGTCAACTATCCGCCAGGACAACTACCCCCTAGGACAACTACCCCCTAGGACAACCACCCCCCCAGACAACTACCCTCCAGGATAACTACCCCCTAGGACAACTACCCCCTAGGACAACCACCCCCCGGACAACTACCCCCTAGGACAACTACCCCGCAGGACAACTACCCCCGGACAACTACCCCCCAGGACAACTACCCCCTAGGACAACTACCCCCCAAGACAACTACCCCCTAGGACAACTACCCCCTAGGACAACCACCCCCCAGACAACCACCCTCCAGGACAACTACCCCCTAGGACAACTACCCCCCGGACAACTACCCCCCAGGACAACTACCCCCCAGGACAACTACCCCCTAGGACAACTACCCCCCAGGACAACTACCCCCTAGGACAACTTCCCCCCGGACAACTACCCCCTAGGACAACTACCCCCTAGGACAACTACCCCACAGGACAACTACCCCCTAGGACAACTACCCCCTAGGACAACTACCCCCCCGGACAACTACCCCCTAGGACAACTACCCCCAAGGGCAACTACCCCCCAGGACAACTACTCCCGGACAACTACCCCGCAGGACAACTACCGCCCGGAAAACTACCCCCAGTCAACTACCCCCTAAGACAACCATTCTCTAGGACAACTACCCCCCTGGACAACTTTCCTAGGGTAGTTGACTGGGGTGGATATCCGGGGGGTGGATGTTCAGGGGGTAGGTGCCCAGATACGAATAGAAAGAAATACATAAAGAAAAAAAAACATAAACAAAATCAAATAATTGACTAAAAAGGAAACTGACCTGGAAATGTGATGAACATTTGCATTTATTCTGGTTGTTCTTATTGTTTCTTGCACTGTGCACTCCCCCCCCCCCCCCCCCCCCCCTCCCCTCCTCCCACTTTAAAAGTCCTGGATCCACCCTTGGAGAGAGTAGAAGGAACACTTACTCATGGCCACTCTCAATAGCCATGTCCAAGCAGTTCTTCTGGTCAGCGTTGACCAAAGAGAGATCAGCCTTCCATTCTAACAGCAGCTTGACCATGTCAACGTGACCACTGACCGCTGCAAGATGCAGTGGGGTTACCTAGTAAACAGATACGTAAAACAAAGAAAAACACACACAAGAGAGGTTAGCGATCCAGCTCTACAAAACTCTACAAGTGGAAAAAGAGAAAGATAGCTCTGAAAACAAAGAAATAAGAAACATAAATAGCTTTTCTAAAGAAACAAAACATTACGAACCAGAGCAAAATAACACTGCGTTCCTATAGGAAATCTATTTATTTAGATGGTCATATCTCAGCCAATATTTAACATATTCCATTGGTTTTCGACATTTGAAAATTATTTTTGATGCTCTTTTGGAAAATGAAGTAAAAATCAAGAAATTCTAAACATAGATTTTCATTATGTCACAGCGTCGGTACTCTATGACTGGAACTAATATTTTGTCTTTTGTCGCACCACTTCTGTGGAACAAGCTACCCTGTAGTATCACAAACATTAACTGTCAAGAAACATTACAAATGAAAATAAAGAAAATTCTGTTTACCTTGACCTACACTAACTAAGTTTTGTATATGTTGTATTACATGTACATGTATGTGATTCCATTCCTAAAACTATGAATGTAACTGTATTGTATCATCTATAATGTATACATTTTTTGATTTTACAACTGATTATTGAAACGCCTCAAGTGACATATTCTGTCAGAAAGTGCGCTAATGAAATTGATATTATCATCATGAATAATATTTTATGAAATGCAAGATGAGAAGATCATTACCTTGGCTTTATCTGTTGGATCTACAGTACTGTCATTTTCTAGCAGTGCATAGGCAGTTTTCACCCATCCCTTATGGGCTGCACAGTCTAAAGGAGTCCAGAGCTGCTGGTTCCTGTAATGCAATAACAAAACAATCATCTAAGCAAAAGTCTCACTATCGCTAAGTGCGTGCGCAACATGCATCTGTACCTTAACGAATCCAAAATTATGTATGATGAAAAGCACACACTTGTACTTGTACATGTACATGTACATGTAGGCCAAAAACTGAATGTACGGTACATGTATGCCCAATCTGAAGCACATGGAGTGATTTCAAGTTGGGTGTTTAAGGCTAGTGTTAGTGTTTAATAAACACTAACACCAGCCTAAACACCGAAATGGAAATCAGCTGGTGTTAAGGCTTTGACCTCTGAATATCGTCAACTTCCGGTAGCTAGTGTTATCGCTTTTGCAAAATTGTCGTCTGCTGAACCGACCTTTGTGGCTGGTGTTAATATTTTACGTACAAATGTCCTATTCACTAACACTAGCCCCTAGGGATTAAGCAAATGTTGATTTCCAGTTCGGTGTTAGTGTTGTATCCGCACACAGTCAACGCACGAACGACGCCAATTTATTGTCTGACGATCAAATAAAAATATGTGAAACAGGTAATTCATATATTCTTATGTTTAAAATGAGTTATTTTATAAGACCAGAGAAATAGGTGTAAATTTATTCTGTACTTTTCATGATATCTTTAGTTTTGATGTACTATTTTTAAATCATCGTCCTGAAATCAAGTATGTGGTGACGTCACAGCTGGTGTTAAGCTATCGATTTTGATATCAGTATCGGCCTCTTAATTTCATCAGTAAATTTTCCGCTTGATTTAAGAGCTCTTGACTGCTCTAAACACCAACACTGACACTAACACCCAACTTGAAATCACTCACTGTATCTCTTTACGCATTAATCAAATGTTATTTAGTGAACTACATGTACCTCCAATTAAAGCACTAACGGCGAGGCATGAATTGTACACTGATGTACTACCTGCAAGAGGAAAAACGCTACCTGAATTCAATACCAGTGCCTGCATCAATGAGAACCCCTACTGTCTTAATAGCCTGTTCATAATTCCACAATGCAATTCGGTAATACCAATCAAACCTGTCTATAGCGACCGCCCAAGGGAAACATAAAAAGTGGCCTTCGTAGACAGGTGGTCTTTGTAGACAGGTTCCTTTAGTACATGTTTCGATGAGAAACCATTTTCAAAGGAAACAAAAAATGTGGTCCTTGTAGATAGGTGGTCACTAAAGCAGGTTTGACTCTACTTGGTAATGTATAAGACATCACTTTGACTTGCCTACTAATAAATAAAGACCTTGAGAGAGGTAGATCCTACCTGGATTCAATATCAGCACCTGCTTCGATGAGAGCCCTGACTGTCTTAGCATGCCCTGCCATGGCAGCCTGGTGAAGAGGGGTGTTGGAATTCTCATCTTCATCGTTGATAGTCGATTCGTCTCTCTTGACAAACTCCAATACGATCCTGCAATCATAATGGTCAGGGGGAAAATATGATAGCGATGCTAATAAATGATTTTAGAGTTAGAACATTGCACATGATGACACTTGATGACATTTATGTCACTTGTGGTAATAATATACATATAAGGATCATTATTTATTGGTCATATTAACAGTAGAAAAAACATTAACAGATTTTTTTTTTTCCCTACTCTGTTTTTGGGGTGAAGTTCAGTTTGTGGTGACAAATACTCAGTGGTCAACATCCCCATAAAACAACTTCTAACTTCAACACCGGATCGCTCACTATACCTAGCCCTCAACCACTTGACAGCATTGCAAACCAGACCCTAATCCTAATCTCTGGCAAAATAAAGCCAAGAGTAAATGTAGCAGAATCACTAAAATATCAAACAGATACTTGACTATTGTTAAAAAACTCTGTGGCAAAACAGGGTTAATCATTTCTGAAGTGCCGAGCAACTCTTTCTGAAGTACATGTACACTACACACATTGCGGAACTAATTGCTTAATCATAATCATAACTTACGCTGTATGACCATTAGCAGCTGCAACATGGATTGGCGTTTCCTCATCCTCATTCTTCCAATCTAAGGCTGCTCCATTGTTTAACAAAATCTGTAATGGCAAAATCAATCAAAAATAGCACATATATCCTTATTACATTAATAATAGGTTTAGTAAGCAAAACAAAAACAAAACTAACACAAAACTTACAATGGATAACTTAAAATTGACAATGTATCTCGTTTTTGTATCTTTCTGATTGCTGTATCTCATTTTGATATCTGTCTGATTGTATCTGATTTTACTGTATCCGACCTTGTCATTTTGCCCAGTTTTGCTAACTTTTGTATTACATGTGTATCTTGTAATTTATTGATTTTTGTGCGCCTTGGGTGCCATTATACGCTGATATATGCGCTATACAAATCTAAAATTCTAATTCTCATTCTGAAATTATCTTTGAAACATCAAAATTACGAAGGAAAAAAAAGAAACAATACAGATGATGAGTTTCAAAATTACATTTTTTTCTATATGTGAAATTATTTTGAAGCTTTTGTAGAATCGATGAAAGTGTGAGAATTTCTATGTTTCTGGCATCAGAGCTCTTCCTCAGCTCCTGTATAAGATATAATATATTTTTCCATGCAAAGGAAATACAAAAGCTACTAAATGACAAGAGAGAGACAGAGAGAGAGAAAGGGGAGACAGATATCACTATCATGCATATGATATTCAGTTTGTACGAAATGAAACTCTAATTATGAACAGAAGTGAACTTTGACCTACCCTAACAATTCCCAGATATCCATTCTCTGCAGCAATGTGAAGCGCTGTGTTGTCATAGCGATCACTGTATTCAAGAATTTTTGAAGCCATCCGATGTTCCAGCAGAGCCTACAGAAAGGAACATTATAAACAATTATATCGTACTTGCAACTTGGTCAGTCAAAAGGAAAACATAACGTGAAGTAAATATAAAGATTTTAATGTGATAAATACCACCAGGCCTCTTAGCATTGCATGAGAAGGTCTGCTGGTGAATCATTTACTAATGCAACTTTTTCTACCATCACTACACACTCTACATAAATATACTACAACAATAATTATTACTAATTTTGAATGAAATTGCCCAAATGTATGTACTGTTGATATCAATACTACCAATACTGATCTTTTCAACATCATTTTTGATCATTCAGCTTAAAACCTGCAATTCATTGAAAACAAAGCAAGAGCAAATCATGACACATTATTATCATTGAAGTAATCTAATTTTTTGTTCTGGGAATAAATGGGAAATTAGGTCGCTATTTTATCAAATCTTATTATTTTTGAGGTGGTCATTATTCTCCTGATAAATATGCACATGTGAATTGAATTGATATAAATGGCATTTAACTTAACCCTATGTGGCCTGGGGGAGGCCCCCCCCCCCCCCCCTCTATAAGTTTATGGACAATCATATGAACCTAACTTTATTGACTATACCTGGAGCGCCTCAGGCTTGTTTTCCTCGGCAGCCCAGAAGAAGGCTGTCTTGTCATGCTTGTCTATGGCTGCAATGTTAGCTTTCTTGCCCAGCAGGACCTTGATGGTAGCACTGTGCCCGGAGCTGGCTGCGATCAGGAGCGGAGTGAAGTTGTCCTTGTCCTTTGCTTCGATTCTTGCACCTCTGATGTTTTATATCATTAAAAAAGGAGAATTAAAATAGTTAAAACATTAATGATGATAATCACTATCAATCAATTTGTTGGCGACAATAGTAATTTCAAAGAGAGATATTCAATATGAATTGTGTGCAAACAAATTTATATATTATGAAAGAAAATAAACAGAAACAGTCAAAAAGAGAGATATAATTGTACTCACAAATAAATTCATCACAATCAGGTACTGTACATCAATACCACTGAGCTTAAAGCCCTACTGTACTAGTTTGGCCAGGAGGGATTAGACCTCCCTGCATGGTCCCCGACAGACGATTATCTCATCAAATCAGTTCTCAATTAACATCAGTAAAAAGGGGATCATGGGGGACCAATGGTCACTGATTAGGCATTGTTTGCTATATAGAGGGCGCAAGTAGCTATAAGTAGTTCAGAGGGGCTTTAAATTAAAACAAAAGAAGAAATTAAGTAAAAAGTATACAAGACTCACTTTTCCAGAAGATGCTCCACAATCTTATGTCTATTGAAAGAGCATGCCCTGTGTATTGGAGTGGCCCTGTCTGCATTGACGCTATTCACATGAGCTCCTTTCTGCAGCAGCAGCTCTACAATCTTCAGGTTACCGGCCACACAGGCTGCATGGAGTGGGGTGCTCCTGTTGTCACGATGGCAGTTCACGTTGGCACCTACGACGGAAGAGGAGGATGAAGATGATGATGATAATACTAATAGTTTGTTGTTACATGTATATAGCGCTTTTCAGGACCAAAGGCCCTAGGCCCTCTTAAAGCGCTTTAGAGATATATATTATGACCCCGGTCATCAGATTCAGGCTTACTCGCACACAATGTATGCACATTCTCCATTCCCTGGGGAGCATTCCAGCCAGGCGTAATTTTTACAAGGGCACACTTGCTCATCTAACCACAATAACCTTCGCATCCTACCGGGGACCGATTTAACACCTGGGTGGAGAGTGGCAAATGTAGATCAATGATGATGGTGCAAATAATAATTTGATTCCCTGGTCACACCATCAAGACCAACACAAAATTCACACATGAGAGACAATTTCTGTTTAACACCAGGAATGACTAAGGATCGGTTTTTTTGGAGACGGTGTGGAATCAATAAATATAAATAAATATTAGAGTGAATAGGAAAAACATGGAAGGCAGTTTTGACATCATTTTCCCCAAAGAATGTAAATTTCTTGGTGTCAAGATCCTTCCTAGGAAAAAAAAGTAATTTTTTCCACCCCCCCCCCCTCCATTTTTGTTCCTATTCACCCCAGTTCACAGTACATCAAAGGTAAAAGCAGAAAGAAGTTGCACTAGTTTGATGTGAATTACTATGAATGGACTGAGAAAATCAATTATACTAACTTTTAGAAAGACAGAGCTCCACAATTTCAAAATATCCACTGTCTACAGCAAGATGAAGAGGGGTGCTGCGGTCACTGTTTGTGTCGGTCAACATCTAGGTAAAAACAAATGGAATGAAAGCGTTTCTGTGTAATATCATGATTAAAATTGTTTTTAAAATATATTTTCTATCACAAATATCAAAGTGATATTAATTATGTAAACTGCAGTGTAACAGCCTTTTAAAAAGGCAGAAAAGATTTAATTTTCCTTTTTTCCCCCTCTTACTTCTAAACATATTGATCTTTTTCCTACTTTTCTGTTTGGTTTATAAAAAAACACAAAGAAGTAGTCCAAGAACAACATGTAGTTGTACAATGTTTAAAATGTAAAATGGTTATAAAAATAAGAACATCAATAACACAACTACTGTATGTCAATCAAGATCAAGATCAATAACAAATGCCAGACTTCTGTAACAAATTTGCACACAACCAATCAAATGCAAGGATTTCAGTTTGTAACTTTTTCATTGATAACAAATTTTAAGAAAAAGGTTCCCTGGAGCCCCTGAGTGTGTGTGTGTGTGTGTGGGGGGGGGGGGGGACAGTGTAATGCCCAGGGACCCATTTCACAAAGCCTTTCTTCAATGACAAATGACTAAAATCAGTGACAAATCTGCTGATAACCAATCAGAAGCAAGGATTTCAGTAGCTTATAACAAAAACTGTCATTTGTCACTGATGACAAGTTTGTGAAACGCCCCCCTTAGGCCTAAAATAAAAACTTGTTGTATCGCCCTTTGCGACCGACCCAAAAATCTGAAAATCTATGGTCGGCATAAACCATTTTTTTTTGTTAATGAATAAAAAAAAATATGTATTTTGTTTGTTTAAAGATACTTTGTCCCTTTTGCTGCCAACCTCAAATTTTGTAGAACTTTGCAGGAATTGTGAATATGTCATGTATGTCCTATCTGTGAAATTTAAACGTTAGCAGTGTCCTAATATTCAAATTATGCAAGGAAACCTGTTTACTTGCTAGACTTCACTGTCAGACACTATAGTCAGTATTAAGTGTCTGACTGTTTTTTTTTCTTCTTTGGAATAACATACATAAAATGAGCTGTAAAGGATTTGTCTAACAATAACCCACTTCATGTAATGGCCAAAATTAAACTGATTTAGTGAATCTTTATGCAGCATAAAACATACGACCATGCTGTAGATCAGTACAATAGTCTGAAAATCAAGACTATTACTTATTGGCTCTATAGCTCCTAAGTCGATTTGACAACTATAGTCGTTACTTTCCCACTTAAAGATATTTTCAAGCCCCCTTTTTTAAGGGGACTTCTAAATTAGTATTATCTTTCAAATGCCATTGGAATTTAACCTTTTCATTTTTTTGGCCTGCAAATGGGACATACTGTAGTACCTTTAAATGGGATATAAATGCATGAAATCAAATTATTCCAAAATTCTCACTCGTGCAAACCATGGATAATTATGAGGTGAAAAAGATATCAATGGAATGATGACGCTGAAACACATGTATTAATGCATTAAAAACTGAGAAATATCAGCCAAAAGAGGGTGGGAAAAAAACAACAAAAACATTCAAATCTGAAAAATATCGGCCCAAAGAGGGCAACAAAATTTTTTTTTTTTAAAAGCCCATCGACCGACCGACCAATGTTTTGGCACCCAAAGGGCAATACAACAAGCTTTTATTTTAGGCCTTATTTACCTGTTCCAGAAGCCCCTGTCCTTCTCCTGCTTCAAACAAGAGGTTGACGATATCCAAGTGTCCCTCTGTGCAGGCAGCGTGTAAGGGGGTCCCCAACTCTTCGTCAGTGGCCCTGAGCTGTGCATGTTTCTGGATCAGCATGGCCGCGATGGTATCACTGCCGTGGGTACAGGCCATGTGAAGTGGGGTCATCATCTGCCCATCACAAGCCTGTTCACAATGACACAAAAGATGATGATATTATTTATATAAAGTTGGTATATAGTAATTCTAAGCATTACAGAATTACATTTCCAGAGAAAAGACATTTTCATGAAAATCTACTAAATGAATGTTATGATATACAGACTGAATATCCTAAAACATCAGATTTTTTATAGAAAAATCAGATTTTCACGCAGACACAACACTATTTTTACCACTAGCCCTATTTCCTTCAATAGTACATTACATGATCATGCTACATGTATCTAGTCATATTAGATTTCGAAATGTGATATGCGTTGAACTAGACCTCCTGGTACACTAAATATCATGATTGCCTTTGGTGATACAAAATCAAATGATAAAATGTAATTGAAAAAAAGATTGAAACAAACATGTGGGAAGAAATCAGAAAAAATGTGTTAGAAGTGGTGGGGTTTCCTTTTCAAATCTATAGATTTTAACTCACATCAACTTGTATGGTCTTGATACTTAGGAGTTCGCTGGCCGCTATGTCGTTGTCTCTGATAGCTGCCATGTGGAGCGGAGTGACGCCGTAGATGTCCTTCGTGTTCACGTCCGCTCCTTTGGATTCCAGGTAGAGGATAACACTCTCCTGCTGCTCCTCCGTCCCATTGGCAACGGTCTGTTTGAGATGAGGGAGAGAAGGGGGAGAGAAAGTTAGAGAGTTATGTACATGTATATGTACGTGTAGTTATCATAGGGAAGATCAAGTCTTGATGAGGGTGAAAATGCATGTTTAAATGATTAGCTTTCTCACTGTTTTTTCATTCATAAATGAAAATATTATACAAGTACATTATGTTGTAAAGACAGTTGGACAGGGTTGCTTTTGAAAATCCCTCATACTGTATACAATATATGGCTACAATCGCATGGGTCTGTTTTCTATAAATTCATTATAAAACCCAACCCTTGGTCTAAAATCACATTTAACAGAAGGGAGACTTTAAGTATTATACACCATGTCACTTCCTTTCTTCAACCCACTACCGGGTTTAGTAGAAAACAAGCCAAATAGATAAGTTTGGAGCTTTACGCTAGATTTGGGATAGGAGGGGGAGGGGGTGGGGCTACATGTAGTTACAAATAGAGAGAAGGTAAAGTTTGGGTAATAATTTAATAATATAAGATGAGTAGATTGTGAGTTTTCTCATTTTTTTTAATTCTTCTCATACAGTGGGAGCATTTTAGCCATGCCAGATGAAAAGGATACACCAAGCAAATACCAATAGTTCTTGGACCAGATTTGGGGTGGAGGGGTAGGAGGTGGATGGAGAGATGGAGAGAAGTTAAGAAGTTGGAAGCAGGCTAGAGGGTACAGTACTTCTGGCCCGGCTACATACATGTACAGTTTTTGAGCTTTCTCAATTTTTTATTCCAGGTGAACGAATACAAGTATAATACTAGAAATGTGAGATGTTAGAACCCGCACCAAAATTGTCTTCTTAATTTTGGTGTAGTCCCATACAATATATCCAAATCTAAATGTACTGTATGTTCAGTGCTTTTCACTGTTTGTAGATTTAATTACATTGTACTACATTCAGACTGACTATGGTATACTTGGCATTTTACCCTGTAAATGGTTCTAAATGTAAAGGACAGGATACTGTATGATGAAAATATGCAGTAAAAGATCTAAACTAGCTATTTTCTTCTTTTTTTCTTTCTTTTCGTGCACAGGAAATGATGCGGTTAGAGTGTGGGTGAGCTTTTAGGAAGTACATGTAGTTACAGGTGCCATATATTGCTCAATTGATGATAAAGTTTCTTTCTACAAGTACCCATAGACTACACATCTACATCTACATTTGTGTAGGTCTACATGAGTGTTAATTTTATTTTTTTAATGACTGCCATCTACTTTAGTGATGACAAATCTCTTTTCATAACTACGATGTACATGTATAAAATTACACATGAAAAAAAATATATGTTCCGGTATATTAAAGAAAGTGTTGACATGCAATGCACATTGAGTAGAATTGGAATTACTTGTGATTGTCTGTGAAATTAACTGCTGTTCCAACATACCCAGTACATGTTTGTTCTGTTTTTGTGCTGAAGACGTGCACCAGACTGACAACCGGCAGAACAAAAATTGTATCTCCCATATAATGGAAAAGATTTGGTCGGTCTGGAATCAATTTGGAGTCCGTTTACCATGGTGACTAAAGTACAATAACTCAGGCTTGTCAAAACATAACAAGGCCTCCATGTGCTTTAACTATTTCCTGTATATTTCCTGTTGTCAGATTTAGATTGACAGTGACTTTATGTCATTTTCCTCATTCTTCTTTGGCTCAATTGGTTGAAAGATGTGAATAATGGTTTGTTATGGACTGCATTTTGACATTCCTCACATATTTTAATTGGTGTCTTTCTTCAATCATACATGTACACTGTATGTATCTTTCAGCTCTAAATTACATATATTGACTATTCTTCAGTTTAACTTTATAGATACAGCAAATGTCCCATTATAACCTAAAACGTTTATACAACCTAATACATGTAGTTACACATTTCTGGAATTCCAAAGTAGTCAATAATTGTAATGCAATTTGTTAAACATTCCACTATGGAAGAACTAGTTTACAAAGGTACATGTTGTAAGTAGGGATAAATGTATTTTTTGTCTGCTGGAAACTTTAAAAAATAAATTTCCAGTTTGTTCTCTTTTTAAAGCAGAACTCTCTTTGAAATTGCCAAAGCAATTTCAGAGCTGGTAATATCCTCTTCGAGAGGGAAGAAAATACATTTTTATTGAGATAGTGGGAAAGGGGCAGGATAAGATTTCAGAAATGGGAGATGGGGAGAAAAGTAAATGAGGTTGAAGATTTAAATCGATGTCATCAGAAAGACAATGTAATCTCTTTGAGATACTTTGGAACATGGTGAACTCTCTGAGATTAACAGAGCTACAATGTAAATTACTTGAAGCTCTCATGCACCCCCCCCCCCCTTTGGCAAGGGTACCGATGCACTATTCAACATTATGAACATGACATACTGTACAGACATGTATGCAATCAAACTCAAGTAGAGAGCATTGAATGAGTAGCACATCATGGTATTCCAATCACTGATTTATCTGAGCAATCGTCCCTATCAAAGCCTGATTGATCGAGGTAGTCTGCTTGATGCGAAATTTGTCAGGCTCTTTGTATACACTGATTGATCGAGGTAGTCTGCTTGATGCGAAATTTGTCAGGCTCTTTGTATACACTGTACATGTAGCTGTAGCTGTACAAATACATGTTTGAAAAACAGCCAGTAAATGCTCTATATCTACAGGACTACACGGACAGTCAATGTACATGTTTATAATGTCAGCAGGCCTTTATGATTTATCATTCTGTTTGTCTTTCCTACATGTACATGTACCTGCACATGTCATATTCCTAAACTTCACTGAATATTCTCCTGCTTCTCCTGTTTTTGAATATACTGGACTCTTTCCCTCTTTATTTGTCCTAGCTCACTAAACTCTCGATTCTTTTATACCATTGTAAGTTTAATAAAAGTTGTTGAAAAGGTAAGACTACATGTTGTATACATTGTGTTTGTTAAGCCAGTTTTTCCTCTGTATACTGAAAAGCATGAATTGCATATGAAGTAACGACCTAACTGAGCATTTCTTAGTATTTTATCCAAGTAGGCCTAATCTTCAGGAGACCGATTTCATGGCTATTATCAATATCACTTCATGTACAATGGGACCAGCCCCTAAATCTAGAGCCATGGCCGTATAGTTTAGGCTATCATATGTACAAGCATAAATGTACATGTACTGTAGGACCTACATGTACTGTACATGTAAATTGGAAAGTGAAAACCATGAGAATGAGTCTTTTTTTGTTCTCTTTCTTTCTTTTTCCTTCTGTATGCTGAATAAATAGCTGATTAATTGCAAATAGAGTACAATGTAAATTTACTTTACAAGGAAGAACAGACCACACCTTTTTTGTGTGTAGATTGTCTTCATTGTTATGCATAGTATGGACTTTATTTGCACCTGAAAAACTCACACGCAGACAAAAGGCACCATACCAAAGTCCTTCAGAAAGTCCTTCAGAAAGTATAAGTTATTTATCTGTTTCATGGATTGTTAGTCATGGATGATTGCATCATTTCCTAAACTGAAATAAGCAATTTATGCAAAATGAAAGTAATAAGGTCCTACAAGTACAAATGTATGTACATGTTGTTTACATATTAAAAAAAAAAACATCATTTGGGCTGTCCGCACAGCTGCACTATCATAATAAATTGAATACCATTTATATTATATTGAAAGACTTACTGCTACGAACGCCGTACAAACGATTTTCAGACTATGGAAATTCGGGAAGACAATGGAAAAAAAGGGAGATTTGTACGAAATTATCGTTCGTACGAACCTTTGACCAAAGCATTGTACATGTACAGTGTATACCTGTACATGTTAAGAGAATCCTACTTCTAAGTATGAAAAAAACTATTAAAAAAATTAGTTATAACAATAATATTAATAACTAGAAATTTAATTCGTCACGAAGACGAATAAGGTGGTCTGTCTAAGTCTTATGATAGAATTGAGAATGGGAGAAGTTATATAGACATGTAAACAATGATGATCATGATGACCATGATGATGATCATGATAGTAAAGGTGATGATGATGATAATGATAATGTTATATGATGATAAAAACGATAATGTTAATGATGATGATGAGCACAAGCATGATCCTGACATCTGATTGATAAAATAAGGAAATATTTAAATAGCAAATAGTCTCAGCTACAACATACTAAAATTTGGGAGAAAACTGTTGAATAACAACCGAGATACTGGTCAAAGCACCTTGTCATGCAGATTCATGTTTTGAAAAAAGTGACCTCTCATAGACATAACACGCAAATATGACAAATTATGCATTGTCGCCTTTAATGGAATATTTAACTATGATGACGTCAGATAAATGAAAAATAAATGGCATATTTCTGATAGAGAATTATCTCAGCTACAACATATCAAAATCTGGGAGAAAATCGATCACCGATAAGTGAGATAATCTCAAATAAACAAATACAAAAATGACGTCATCAACAAAATACATTTATTTGAGTTTAGATGCCAATATGATGACTTTATTTCACTTTGTACGAGTCAGGGTGGTATGAAATCATATCTCCAACTCATGCTTTCTCCAACCATGATATAAAAATTGGGGGTCAATGGACTATCTGAAGAGCTATTTCGATTTTTAAAATGGCATGTTTTTGATCAAATTTGCACTATATTGCCCACAGCAGTAAGCGCGGATTTTGAACTTTGACGCGCGCTCACGGCCTTATGAAATATGAAGAGTGACTGAAATTAATGTAAATTGTCAATTACGTTAAGAGGAATCCAAATCATGTAAACATTTTGAATTTGACCTTTTCCGCGCGCTGTGAGCGCGCACACCGCGCGCGGGGACACTTACGGACGGAAAATTTTGAAATGCTTAAAATGACCTGATTCGTACTCTCGTTTAATAGTTTAGTGATTTTGAGCAATTTTAAATTTTGACGCGCACATACGCGCGCGTCATGACCTTTATGTGACCTTTGATGACATGACCTGTTGACCCTTGACCTAAAGTATATGTGATATGAATATGAATGACCTTTGCTGATGCATCATGAAGATATGAAGGATAACTTGATTTCACAAAATGGCGCCTGGATGACGTCACGATAACCTAATGACCTTAAAAATGTTCCTGTCACGTCTCATGATAATGACCTATGACTGTGCCAAAATTGAATCAAATTGACATAACCAATCTTACGTTATCCGACACACAAAAAAGTGAAGAAATAAATAAAAATAAAGAAATAATAATAATAAAGAAGAAAGAAAATTCTGACGAAATCAATAGGTGGTCTGTTGATAACAGACCACCTAATAATGCTAATAACAATAATATAATAAATTACAGGTACAGGTTTATCAATTTATATTGCCAGGAGTTACATGTACATGTATACTGTACACATACTCAAACAGTCATCCAAATACATTGTATTTACTCTTTCAATTGAAGAGATTCACACCACTTGGCTACCGGTATTTACAATACAGATGCTTGCATAACCTTGGCACAATTGTAACCCAAGATATTTTGTGATGTAATCTAGAATTAAAAAAACTTATATAGTAACTACACCCTGTATTCGGTCAATATGAGAATTATTTGCTTTCAGTTTCATTTTTGTTTGTTGACTTGTAATTTCAAAGCATTGCATTGATCTGGAAGGAAAGAAAGAAAAAAGGATTGTTGAAGGTTGCCAATATAAATACAAGGTACAGTGGTTGAATTTTCTTTATTTTAAAGGCCCACTGCACTACTTGTAGCTACTTGCGCCCTCTATATAACAAACAATGCCTAATCGGTGACCATTGGTCCCCCATGATCCTCTTTTTCTAATGTTAACTGAGAGCTGAGTTAATGAGATAACCACCTGTCCAGTGACCTTGCAGGGCAGTCTAATCCCTCCTGTAAACTACGGCAGATAAGCTTTAAGAAGTGCTTTGAGGAAGAGATGGAGCTGTTTCACATGTACTGAAAATTCATTCTGAATCGAAGAATCTGAGAAGTCAAAATGTAATGACATTAATGCTTTTATACAGATTTATACACATGTACATGTATTTTTGACTTTTTTAAAAGTTAATGTGTTGAATTTGAAAGAGGATTTAAATGTGCTTTCTGATTACGTATCTAAAAATCAAGTCTACATAGTTTGAAGAAAAAAAAGGATTAAACCATAACATACATGTATCCATGGCTGACCACAATAAATACCTTTCTACCTTGAGGATTCTAAAGACAGGACATGATGAATTTGTTTGGAATGACAGAAAATACAAATTTCCTTAGCAACAAGCCACTAAAGAGGATTGTAAATATGCTCTCTAAGAATCAAGGGCACACATTTTGCAAATAAGGATTTAACCAGAGAATATCCATTGAGTTTGTTTGGAATTAAGACAAATTCCCATAGCAACAAGCCACAAAGAGGATTTTAAATGTGCAATCTGATTTTTAATTTTTGATATTTTAAATAGTATTTGGAGGTTTGAAGATGTTCATGTGCATGAAGGCCTATTCACAATTGTCCAAAAATAAAACCACAGCCAAGTCTGAACGTCTATAACAAGATGCACTTTTGAGCATTGTTTCAAATGAAAACGCAATACAGAATCTGCATCCCGTTTTAGTCTGAATGGCATATCGTAGGAAAAGTGTATGGGTAGGGCTTACTGTGAGGGTGCACTAATAATTGGCCAGATTTTTTTATTCATTGACCTTTTCAAATATACAATGTAATTTAATGTGATGTTTCTCTATGATGTTGTTTTCTAGTCTGTAGTCTGTACCATTCTTTCATTGTAAGTTGATTCTTTATATATGACATTTCTTTTAACACAAGTTTCATATAAATATCAATAATAATCTGAACAGGATATGAAACATACAGTAAAGTTCTGTATACCGGTACCCTCATTATAAATAACACCTTCACCTCCACCATAATAAAAAAATAAACAGCAAATGCACACTTCCACCAAATCACTTCTGTCTGTTTTGATGTGCCAATAAAATGCTCTTCATGATAGTATTTGCAAAGTGCATGAACCTTTCCTGTGCCAAGGTGATCTACAAAATGTATATAACGGTACATGTAATGGTTTCTACATGTAGTTGAACTGAATCAGAGACCTAAAACAATGAGCTGTAAAAAAAAATTCTACAATTCTATTCTAAGTTTGTGGACACCTACAGTACATGGAAAACACATACACCTGTAAATGTAAATCTCTTAAACCAGTGTTTATTTGAGGTGTCCACAAACTATGATTCATCACTTTATTGCAAAAGGCCCAATATTTCTATGAAGAATTATGTGGACAGTACACCTCAAACTCCATACACCTGTACGTACATGTACATATCCCAACATGAAATACAGACTAAATGTACACTTTTCAAAATAAACTCCTAATCCCATAAACTACATTTGTACATTCTGTGCACACCACTACAATGTGAACACAAAATGCAGGAAAAATGCTACATGTACAATGTACCAAAGTACAAATTTAAGATTAAGAATTTGAATTGCCTGGAAACTGAGAATGTCCATTAACTTTAAACATCTCTACAGTGAACATTTACATGCTGCACTAAATAATTGGAAATTTATACAAAATCTACCTTTCTAGCTACATGTAGCTTGATGAACAGATTTTATGTACATAATGAATATAGTTTGTAATGATTTGTAATCTACTTTTAATATGCAGCAGGTCTTGCAGGATGATCAATTCTAATTCTATCAACATATTGCTGTTATTTAGTATTTATTTCTGTTTGCGAAAGGATGATCCAATGGTACAACTTTTAGAAAGAGACTTGCATGCATTTACAATTTAGACTGTAACTAGTCTGTGAAGGAATTTTATTTTTTAGCACATTGTCTTCTGAGAGCCAGTAGGGTGTTTTTTAAAGCACTTCACACATAAAACCACTGAACACAATGGTAGCTTTAGCGAATGGAGTGGCACAAAGAGACGCATCCAGAACCAGATACCAATATATTTAAAGCTGCTGTCTGTGTCTGAAAGACAGTTTATGAGGTGATAATGATATCACATGTAATGATGAAATCCAATGACTCCTGAATTATCTCATTTATATGGGCTTTCATACAGGAGCCACCTACTCCCCATAGGCAATGGGTTAAAGGGCAAGTCCACTCCAAAAAAAAACAACACATAAATAGAAGCAGAAAAATAAAATTTTGATTGGTTTATCTGATTTTTCTGCTTCTATTGAAAGTACAGTGTACATTGTACATGTACACTGTAAATTATTTTGGGAGTGGACTTGACTTTAACCATAATCGAGGTAATTAATGAGTAGGTATTGAGTAATGAGTAGATTCATGTCCTGGCAATGTATTTCTATGCAACAACTTTCAAAATTACTCTTTTTCTTGCATTCCGGATGCATCTTATCGCGCCACTAAATTTTGCCGAGCTACCATGCAGGGACCCATTTCACAAAGCCTTCTTTCAATGACAAATGACAAAAGTCAGTGACAAATCTGCTGTAAACCAATCAAAAGCAAGGATTTCAGTAGCTTATAACAAAATCTGTCATTTGTCACTGATGACAAGTTTTGAGAAACGCCCCCCCCCCCCTAGATGTTCACAATCTTCAGGCTCTCATCAGACAGTGTGCTTTATATTGCAATGGAGAGAGGTTGGAGAGACACCAGGTTGTGTGCACAATACATTTGGGAGACAGATTATCAAATTGTTTGGCATTATTACCTCATCATGACCATTTGGAACATCACCTGTCTGCTAAAATGATAAGAAACAAAATATCACACAAGCACAAATACATTTTGTACATGTACAGTGAATGTAGCACATGTATGTACAGGGTAGGGTAAAATGCAACAAAACATTATTAATGAATAATGATATAGAGCAGGCAAGCACAAAACTTAAAAGAGAATAAATGTACACAATACTGCTTGGGCAGGGTATCAACTATCAACTATTCTATAAAACATCCAAAGTTAATTTTTGAAAGTTAAAACAAGCAGACAATAGGAAAAGTAAACATGCCCATTATTTGTTCTCTCTTCGGACATAAAATATGTAATTGAGTATAATCCCAAAGAGCATACATGTAAGTTTAAAACCCACATTGTATGACTTCATATACATTTATCTTAATAATCTACATGTACACTGTACATGTATGTACACTGTACGTAAAGCAGGTCCTCTGTGCAACTCAAAACACTAGGCCATACGCAAATTCAAAATTCCACTTATTCTTTTCTGTTTATCTAACAAATATTCTATTGTCGTAAAAATATGCTTTTGTATTTTATATAAGCCGCCCACAGATTCATACATGTACATGTCTTCATACGTGACACAGGTAAGATACAGGTTGCAGTTCACAGGTATTGAGATATTGCCTGCAGTGCCACACCTACTTGTATACCCTCTTGTACCTTGTACCTAAACACAAATTATGCATTGCAAGAATATTTATGAGATAAGGGATTTCACTGTACACATGATGTACACTTGCACAGTGTATATCTGATGTTATAGTCCTACATGGCTTTAAGTATTAATTTGTTCAGCATTTCTTCTTTCTAAAAACTGTTCTCCAATAGAACTAATTTTATATTTGTTAGTGATTTACAAATAGGCAAGGGATATACTGTACAGTAGTAGTCTTATCTCATGGATTACTAGTGCGCATAGTAAACAATGTGCATAATGGAAGATACAAGCAATGCATCATTGCTATTAATAGCTCACTTAGTATCTAGAGCCTCCCACACTATGCAATACTCACTGGTAATAATGTGTCATGTTGATTTTTGGGCAGAACATACAACAGGGACCTGTAAACACACATACATGTACTAGTATACTACACATTGCAAAAACCTAGCCTTTACTTTTCTTTGCATTTTCTTCTTTCTTTTTTTTTTTGGGGGGGGGGGGGGGAAGAGTTAAACTTAATCATCAAACATTTGCTTATTTTTTTATTTTTTTTATAGAGAAGATACTCTGTATACTAAAGAAGCAATTCCCTACACTGTGGTTTTCTAAATCCATCCTACATCTATTCTCCTCGTAATGTTTGCATATTTTGGATCCTAGAGTTGCTGAATTTTCATTTTCTTTCTATATTTAATATAGGTTTTTACACCTGTCTCCATTGATTAAAAGACATGTAAAGCACAAAGAGCAAAATAAAAACAAATTTTCAAAGGCAGTTCTTATCTCTAGACTGAAGATAAAATCAAAGCACATTCAATGTACATGTAAACACAAACAAATACATCGTACATTACAATTTACAAACGATTAAAAAAGGAATTTACTGGCATAATAAAATGTATTTGTCCATGAATGTACAGGTATATGCATGCAAAGTTGCAAACTTACCGCATCTTCACCGTCCAATGAGCCAGCATATTTGGAATGTTTGTACTTGCAAGCAAAATGAAGAGGGACCATCCCTCCTTCTCCTTTCCAGTTAACATCTGCAAGAATATGGGCAATAAATAAAACTCAAGTATTAAAGAAAAAACAACATCAGTGACCTTTAAAGCCCCATAGCTACATGTACTTGCTCTCTCTACTTCCCCAATTGGTGCCTGTTGGTCCCCCATGATCCTCTTTTTCTTATGTTAGTTAAGAGCTGAGTTTAATGAGATAGCCACCTGTCAGTGACCTCGCTGTGTGGTCTAATCCCTTCTGGCCCAGTAGTATTGACGGTCTTTAAATCCACTGAAGATATACATTGTAAATGTACATCCAATATGCATCCATTAAATACAAAAAATATATACATTTACAGCTCACATGATAGCATACAAATATCCCCACATTGTGAGAAAATAAGACTTTTCATGCTTAGAAATACTTTTCAGAAATAGTCATTATTTAAGCATACTGTGTACATGTACACATGTAGTAGTATTTGTAGCTACATGTACATGTATACAGGAACAATGTACACCTGTACACAGTACATGTATGTACATGTACATGTATGAGTAAACAAATCTAACCGCAAAGATGCGGTTGAGGTAAATTTCTACATGTACATGTATATCTCATGGAAGGAAGAACATAAAATTCGAAAATAGTTGCATATTATTTCTTGATTAGTATTTTTCGGCCTCCTGGCTCCACCAATGAAGAGACCTGAGGCATTATGTTTTGGGGTTGTCCGTCTAGTGTCTCTGACTCATTTTTAATTTTTTAGAACCGACAGATCATTTTGAAACTTTGTTTGAAAAAAGGGGGAAAATTACCCGATTGAAGGTGATTTTCAAGTTCCTTTTTTAAGTTGTATAATATTTTGTATATATACTGTACATGTATACGCCAACATTTAGTAAGACTTCATTACACTACAACCTCGTGATATATTTAGTAATATTATTTTAGGCCTCAACATTAACTTTTTTGCTGTTTCCTGACTTTGACTTGAGGTTATTAAACAAATTATGTTTTTGTTTCTTTTACGTTTAAATTTTTATTGAAATATCCTACCTGCTCCATTGTCGACCAGCATCTTGACCACAGGGAGATGGTTATATCTGGCAGCATAATGTAATGGACTGATTCCATTCTCATCAAGGGCGTTTAAGGCTTTCTTCTTACGCTTTATGATCTGATTTATCAGTCTCTTTAGAGTTATGGCGTCTCCATCACGAGCAAGCTGTAGAAGAAAAAGAAAAGTAATAGTAAAGATTAAACAAATAAAACAAATGTGGGGGAAAAAGTTTGTGGAAGATTTACAAGACACAATTAAGCATATTTTTTAAATTTAATTTGGAGATAAACACAATGTGCTAATTATCAAAACTAACTTAATTAATATAGGGTGGACTTCCCCTTTCACAGGTTACATTTGTAATTTTGTATAGTGATCATAAGGAAATGTTATTGGGAATTTCATCTGTAAAGTGTGAGTTTTATATCTGTATGTATGTGTAGTGAACATGTGAAATCTGAGCTGTCAACTTCATATGCATCACTGCATACTGCACATGTACTGTACACTGTACCATGTAATTGTACACACGTGCAGTACCAGTGTATTGTATGTGTTGAGCCAAATCAATCAGATTTCCTCTGAGCCACACCAAATATCCTGTAATTACCCGCAATTACTTGTACCGGTATTACAAATGAATCCTTCAATATCTTGTACACAAGCTGACATTGGATTCCAAAGGCAAATTTATGACCCTATGAAGTGTACATGTATGATCACTCCAGATTGTAACCTAATACTAATGTACATTTTGTACCAGTACATTGTACATGATGTACAAAATACCACATTGAATTAAATAATAGAGATGTTTAACAATAATGAGTTCTAATAATATTTCATATTAAATGGTGCATTTCATAATTCTCCGATTGTACATGGAAGGTGCTGGGAACTGACAAATACAATGTAATTTGCATTTTATAATCTGATTGGCCCTCTTTACTGTTTGTACTTACATGTAAACAAAGCGTTTGTTTACAATGTACTTTTATAGCAGATACCAAAGGACAACACAGATAATACAGCCTGAAGCATACACTGTGCCTACAGTATGTGTATGTGTTCAGGGTATACTTTTAGTACTTGAAGGGCATGGTGCACAGTGCACTCTATCCATTAAGGACACACCCTCTGAAAGCTATACATGTGCTGTACATGTACATTATTTATGTCCATGGTTACAGTTACAATTTACGTCTCCAAGAGATGTTAAGGGTGCAGCAGATAAAGGGATGTAATTCCCCTAAAGTAGATATTCTTTGATTTTTAAAACTAACTTTATTTTCATTATTGCAAAGGTGAAACTTTGATTGGACAAGGTTAGTAATGATTATTATCAATTACAAAACGTTTATTATAAATATAGCCTGGCATAGCACCTGAAGAGCTCTCCGAACGCTGCTGAGATGTGTGACATCACAGGTTGGACATGATTTGCACAAGCAGACGATGTCCCATCACATCTCACACATTTTCAGTGCCTGTTAAATCATCTTCTCTTGAGTTCTTTCTCTTACTTCGATCACTACCGTCAGGCTAAATGTTATCTACCTTTCCTAAACCCACACATGGTACAGTTGTATCCTTTTGATGAAAAATGCAGCGACAAAAAAATGAAGGAATCTGTCGCTTGTAAACAAAATAACACGCCATTGTATTTTCAGCTTCATACACGGTATGTTTAGCGTGACAAGACGGATCAAATGCCGTCCATGCTATCTTTCATCGTCGTCTGCTTGGGCAGTATTGGTGCATTATTTGACGTCATTAAAACATCATTTTCTTTTGGCGAATTTCTGGTTTATCGCTGATCTATGCTTTGGAGGTGGTTTTATTTGTATTTTAAAAAATCACCCAATTTGTAGTTGACCTAAAACTTGAACGAAGCCATCTGTTAGCTTTAATACTAGTTTCTAGTGATATTTGTGATTTTCTTTGAATGTCATGATGTACATTTGTACATGTACACCTGGGCATCGTTTCACAAGACCGTTATAAGTACAAGTTCGAAGGTATTGCATTGAAATGTTCATTAACTTTTATCACACATTTCAATAGGATGTCAGCGATTTTTGTACTTGTATATGATGTAGGCCTACTGTATGTGGTTTCGTGAAATGCTGATAAGCTGAACAAATACATGGTAGTGCCACTTTAACTCTTTCCTCCATGTAAAATGTACATGTAGGAGAAGTCTATATAATTCAGCCCAATATTTAAATAAACAAACACGTTTATAGCACGTAACTTAGTAGGGAGGCCAATACCAAAATCAATCAGCCAAGCATGAAGTCTTTCATCTACGGCCCAAGTATAAAAATACTTTTAAAATGTTGGGGGCTACTTTTCAAGCTTGCTTGCATAAAAATAACACTCTTTAATTTGTTTTGCATTGAACTGTAGACAGTCTATGCAAAATTTGGGGGCTCTTTTGGGCATTTCGGGGGCTAATTCGCCTCGAGCCCCCATGTATTTTTTTCCCTGCTACGGCCGATCGTTAACGAAACGGAGTTAAGTCTTTTGTCAATTCTGTTTATTGCTACGGCAGGCAGCCAGTGAAAACGAATTTGTTGGATAAGTTATGAAAATGCAAGCATTACTTTAAACAAACAGAACTTTTTTATTCCTAGCACATTTTTCCTGATTGATGTGTCATATGAAAAGGCAGGAAACAAACTTTCTAGAAATGCAATTTTCTCTTTGCAATTCAGATGCACTGTCCGCCAAATGAATTTTTGGTAATGGTAGGCCTAGATCTACCCTTTCTTCAAATTGATTTTAACCACTCATGCGTGAAATATGCATCATATGAGTTGCCTCAAATGAAAGAGGATCTAAGCTAAGCTTTACAAATATGTGTCATTATATTAATTATAAAAATTATAAAACATCGATAATTCTCAGTTTCCTTTTTTCTGGGACGCATTGTAATAGGTCTAGACCTAGTCTATAGACTAATCCCAATTTATGTTTGTATTTATTTGTAAAGTGGTCAGAAAAAGTGGTCTTGCATTAGTCGCAATCAATGCCAAGTAGATCTATTACAGACCTGATGAAGCGTCACTCCAAGATCTTCTGAGCTTTCCCAATGCCGGAGCACTGTTGCAGTAGGTTGAAACTCTTCTTGACCAGTACCAGCAGGCCTGTAATCGGGCATCGTAACTGAACGTCTGTTATGGTCGCTGCCCGTTCTGTACTTTAGCTCGTACGTTGTATCCTTTCGCTCCAACTCCGACATTGTGCCTTCTTCGTTTCCACTCTTCTGCTGATCAGGGGCAACTTTTGAGGACCGCAGTGTAAATGGCGGTATAACAACACGACTGGCACTCGCAACACTAGCTTCACTTGGAATCCGGCATATATTTTCAGGTTCTCCGGAAACAGATTTATCAGAAATCTGTTCTTGGGCTTGTTCTTCCAGTCTAGTTCCTCGACGAACTTTCCTTAACTTCCGAGACTCTCGCAGCGGTGGCAATGCTGAGGTCGAGACGTAGACGTGTGCCAAATCTTTCCCTTCACCTTCACGCACAACCGCAGGCAGTGCAACTGAGGGCTTGATTAGTATAGCAGACTCCACTGTCTCGTCTGTATCGACACAGTCCAAATAGTCGAAAGAATTACGCTTCTCCAGGGTGATTATTTTGCGTCACAAACTGTATACAAAAGTTTCACGTCACAGCTGAGTAGTTAGTAGGAATGGGTTAAAGGTCCCCCTTTTTACGATAACACTGGCACTGTCGCTCCTTCACGTGCGTGCACACACAGTATCCAAGCTAGCTAGCCATATCTAGTAGTTATCTTGGTAATCCGATTGCGCATGCGTAAAGTGCGATAATGCACGCTTGATTAATTAATTTAAATGACAAATTCGGAAACACCTGTCACGCAGCAGAACGAGGTTCATAAGCTCGCGATTACGCAAAGGGCGGCGATTTCTTTCCATGATGACCGGGGAGCGGGGGGGGGGGGGGGGGGGGGCGAAATGTGATCGAGAGGGGGGGGGGGGGAGGTGACGGAGGTGACTATTATCAGGGATATGTGAGTTAAAACCCCTCAGAGGTTTCTGAAGTTTTGGTGTATTAAAAAATTACATTCCTTAGCAAAACTATAGTATAAAAAAACAAGCAATATACTTTTTTCACAATTCACTTTTACTTTGCCGGTAATTAGTGTGCTGTCGGCAGGGTTGTAAATAAATATAGGTAAATTTTAGTAAGAAGGCCGCTTGGGCACGGATGGGATTTCTAGTTCCCACTCCATGGGTGGGGGGGGGGGGGAGGCACTCAGATTTGGTTTTGACAGGGGTACGCAGCTGATCGAAGCCTCGAAACCCCTACCCATTTTTAAGGGTCATTTGAGGGGGATTTTTCTCGAAGTTTAAAAACGCATGAAATGTATTGAAAAAGTGTTAAAATGGACTGGAAAACCTCAATTTACAAGGTTGTTAACCGTGAGAATATACACTTCTCTTTCTGCTAAATCCTCCGAACACAAGATGGGAACATTTTTTGGAAAAAATCCCTTCATCATGAAGGTTAAAGAGAATATTGATACCATCAGGTTGAAAACAATGTCAACAACTTATTTATCAGCAGCTAAATATCCAATAAACAGTATAGAGTACTCTAGTATACTCCCATCCCACTTTTCTTAGGCTCATAACCCCTCTCTCTCTTCTCTTTTATCCCCTGTTTCTTTGTTTCCTTTGTTCTTCTTTTTTGCCTTTTCTTCTTTCCTTTCCTTTCTTTTCTTTTTCCCTTTCTTTTCTTTTTTCCCTTTCTTTCCTCTCCTTCCTTTTTCTTTTTTCTCTTTCTTTCTTCTCTTCTCTTTCTTTCCTTTCTTTTCCTATCCTTTTTTTCTTTTATTTCCCTTTCCTCTCATTTTCCCTCCCACTTTTATCATTTTTCCCGACAGCAGCGCAATTCTACCGACAATTTTCTGACAAGTGAGGGGTACACACCCGCACACACCCTCCCCCACACACACCTCCCCCCCCCCCCCCTCTTTCATGACGCCCCTGGTTGTTATCCCATTATTCTGTTAAAAGAAAAATACAATTCCTCAGGCTCTCGCACTTCTCTCCTATCGTTGTTTTATTCTCTTTCATTTTGTTTTCCTTTTTCCTTCAACTCATAAAATTCTCTCTTTTCCCCTTTTTTGTGTTCTTCTTGTGCATTTTTTTGGGGGGAGAGGTTTGGGGGCTTCACGCCTGGCAAAAGGGACCCTATTTTATGCACACTGCGAAATTGAGTGCCCCTCACCCCTTTCCCGGTATAAAAAAATACCTTCTTATAATATCATCCCCCTTTCTGTCTTTTCCCTTCTCATCATTCTCCTTTTCCCCCTTTCTATCCTCCGTCTTTCCCCCTTTCTTCCCTTTCCGCCTTTTCTGTCCTCTCTCTCCCCCTCCTTTTCTCCTCTCCACTTTTTCTCTCCCATTTCCCCTCTTTTTTCTCCTTTTCTCCCTTTTTCTTTTCCCTCTTTCCTCTTCCCCCTTTATTTTTACCGGGGGGGGGGCACGTGCCCTCTGTGCCCCCCTATATTCGCCACTGAACAAATTGGACCCGTTGCATAAAACTTGTTATCTATAACAAAATAATGCTAATTTTCTATGACAAATTTGCTCTCAGCCAATCACATGCCATGATTTCATTAGCAGCTTTTAACAGCAGCTTGTTACTTGTCAGATCACTAACTTCGATCAGACGGATGCGAGATAACTTTAAAGTAGATATTCATTGATTTTAAAAATAGCTTTATTTTCATTGTTGCAATGTTGAAACTTTGATTCGACAAGTTTATCAAAATTCAATGCTTGGAAACATTCGAAAAAATGATTATTATAATTTATATATAAATTAAAAAAACGCTTAAATACAGCCCCGGCATAGCACCTGAAGCGCTCTCCGAACGCTGCTGAGATGACTGTGTGAGATCACAGGATGGACATGATTTGCACAAGCAGACGATGTCCCATGACATCTCACATATTTTCAGGGCCTGTTTTTTCATCCTCTCTTGAGTTCTTTCTCTAACTTTTCTGCCGTCAGGCTAAATGTATAATATATTGCCTCACTCTAAACACCGCGTATGGTTTCCTTTTTATGTCAAATGCAGCGATACAAGAATAAAGGAATCTGTCGCTTGTAAACAAAATAAGACGCCGTTGTATATTCAGCTGCACAGACCGCGGTATGTTCGGCGTTTCAAGAAGGAACACTGCCGTCCTTAATATCATTCCGGGGGGTTTTCAATTTGAAAGTCTGGTTTCTCGGATTGTTAAATAACCCCTCTCCTGTGTATTTACAAACAAAAGATTTTAGTTATCAGAATCGGTTTCATATCCCCTTTTGAATAGTTTGAAATGCCATCACAATTATATACACTAAACTCATTATAATTTGAGAAATAATAGCTTTGCAATTAATATGTTCATTCTTTATGGGATGTCGTCCGCTTGGGCAGTATTGGTCCATTATGTGACGTCATTAAAACATCGTTATTTTCTGGCGAATCTCTCGTATATCACAGATGCTTTGGAGGTGGTTGTATTTTTATAAATCACCCGATATGTAGTTGACCTAAAAATTATATGATGGCCATCTGTTAGCCCACCAGTTTCTAGTGATACATTAGTTGATATTATTTGTGATCTTCTTTGAATTTCCACTTTAAGATGTTTTCCATGTACTTAGCTCTAGCACTTCACTATTCCAGGGAAGGTTCACCCCAGTCACTTTCATGTGCTATTAATTAGTAATGATGCGATAAACTGCCTAAGAATATACAGTGTGAAATTATTTGTTTTTTTTAATTATGCCAATTGCTGACCTAAAAAAGTTGACCTTACCCCCCCCCCCCCCCCCCCCACCGAAGAAAAATGTCAAATTTCCAAATTTCGAGACAAAAAAAAAAAGTGTACTCCTTACCCCCCCCCCCCCCCCCCCCCCCCCCCCCGCTTATTCAGCGGCTGGCTGAGTCGTTGCGAAATTTTCGGACCGATTTTAAAATGTTAAACCCCTCCCCCCCCCCCCCTTAAAAAATCCTGCGTACGCTACTGTGTGAAGTCGTAACACAAATAATTTGCAATGTATATTATATAAACAGAATGCATTGTGGGGCCATTGTTGTTCGCAGCTGTATATTTTCCAGAACCCCCCCCCCCCCCCCCGGCCCCTATCCCATAGTAATTCCTTTTGTTTGAACCTGAGGATTTGCCAGGTGGATTCTGAGGCAGTTTACAACTGCTTTAAAGATGTGTTGACGTACAATTTGTTAAAAGAGGCAAACATTTGTATACATTCTTTGTACCAGTTTAATGCCCCCTCCATATCCAGTACTATATTATAGATCCACATCTACCCCCCCCCCCCTCCCTCCGTGATCGGATAGATACCATGCGTGTTACCAAAATGTCCGGTAAAGGGTTAATTTTCACGCACCAAAGTCCGGCTCGTAGTACACAAAAGCCCGTTTTACACACCGGACTATAGGGGGTGTTTTCAAAAGGAGGGAACATGCATATGCGTACCCTAAATAACACTGAGTTGGGGGGGGGGGGCACATCTTAAATATATAGCTAAGGAGTTTACATTTCAAATGCGTTTGAGAAATAAACCTTCTTTCACGGAATTATTCCAGAGGGTTTGGAAAGTTATTCTATCAAAATTGAACATTGAATAGAATAATAGATCATCTCATCCAACTTCTAAAATCTCAACTTAACATCTTCTTAAGATAACAAGGCAAAATATAAGCTAGCAAAAGGAATTTTAACATCTAATCCAATTTTATGGGCTTTAGAAAAGGATATAATATATCATGACTTAAATTCATAGCGGATCAAGAAACTAATGAAAGGCTAAATTGCTTGTTTCTGATTCTACATCTTCACAAGATAGCTTGGAAAATGATGCCTGAAGGTGCTTTGGAAGGCGCTAACTCCTTTTTACTTCTGTAGAGAAAGGTTCTAAAAACCGCCTTATTATTTCAATTTGACATGGCCTAATATATGTAATGACTTTAATGTATCGTGTGTCTAAATTTCCATACTGCCTACATTTTATCTAACTTAGATAGCATGGCCCTCGAAAGTTATTCAGGCTTGAACCCTGTTTTATTTTTGTATTTAACAAATTGTTTGAAAGATGATTTAACTGGTAAATGGAGACAGCATCCCAGTTTATCTCATTTGTCGAGATTTAAAAACTTTATACGTGTGCTGAAGATATTGCATGGATAATATCACTCTCGGCAATGACTGTATAGTAGATACATTAAATGTTCAAATATCTTATTTGTATTGAATAGCTTATCAAACGGCTAGTTCATTTCTACTACAGTCAAACCTGTCTATACAATGCGTCCCAGAAAAAACGAAACCGACAATTATTATCGATGTTTTATTATAACTTAATCAAAATTGTAATTAATAAATGTTTCATTGGATGCAACTCATAGGATCATAATGTCATGCATGAGTGATTACAAATAATTTGAAGAAAGGGTACCAAAAAGTCATTTAGCGAACGGTATATGAATTTAAAAAGGAAAATCACGGTTCTAGGAAACTTTTCATACGACATCTCAATCAGGAAAAATGAGCCAGGAATAACAAAGTTCTGTTCATCTAAAGTATTGATTGTATTTCCATAATTTTATTAAATGAATCCGTTCCAATGGCCGACTGATCAAAAGGAGACGATGCATGGCTGATCGTTGACGAAACGGAATGTTGCGCAAGTACA